CCATCAGCGCAGTCCCAGGGCTTTAACCCCCACACTGCCACTCGCTGGCGCGCTCTGCTCGAGTCGCTTCACCACCACGAGCTCCTGGCCCCGTGACGACCCTCCGGCTGGGGGGAGAAGCGCAGACGCCACGGGGTCTGATCTGGGCGCCGCACCGACGCACCTGTGAGGTGTCTCCAGATTTCCCTTGAATTTGATTCGCCGCTCAGCGAGACTTCTCAACGACGTTTCCCCACCTGTTCCTCAATCTAGTGAATGACCACAAAAAATATTTTTATTGCACTACGGTGCTAATCTGTTGCCGTGCAATTGTGTGACCCCTTCCTCTTACGTATTCCTGCGGTGTGCGTTCACCCCCACAATTCCACGCGCGCCTGCTTCACACAGGGGACGTTAAACATCCCGTGACGTAATTCGCAAATTCGAAATTTCCACCGCTCGAGTGGGATCGCGTGCGCGGACACAGCGGCGATCGTGAGCCCCGACTGGCAAGAAGAACACCCCGAGTCGCCCTTGCGAACGCGACTCCCTCCTGGCCCCCTGACTTCTCAGCTCCTGGTCGCACAGCATCAACTCGAACTTGCTTCTAAGCGCACCGCTCGCCGTTTGCGAATAGTTCCAACGTTTCCAGGCAGGCCCCACGGTAAATGTCCCTTCGCCCCTCGTACCGAGGTTGAAAACGGCCTCCTGGTGCACAGCTCTGCGATCCGCATCGAGTCGATGACCTCGAGTCTCGGCCACCGAGTTCAACGGCGAGCCACGTCCGTTTGATTCACGGCTGCCAAAGAAGACGGAGTGGTGAATCCGCAGACCGATGCCGTCGCTGTTGCTGTCTTTCTCTCCCAGAATTGACACACATCTCTAACTACAATACACCTAATGAGGGTGGATATACTGGTCCCCGTCACAAGAATGTGGCATTTACAATGCTGGCTCGGGACTACCGGGAGAAATGAATACCGCCCAATGTTGAGGATCAAGCTGCTCCGAATTCCCTTTGAATGATGAGAGCAATTTTACTTTGACAAGACATGCATTCATCTATACTCACAGACTGTTGTATATCATGGTAGTATATCACACACACGGAGAGAATAAATAAGAAAATATGCAATGCAAGGCTTCAAAATAAGCCCAAAGTTGGGTCACGTCACCTTTTGTTGAGCAAATCGTTTACCAACCATTTCGACCACGTGTCTGTGTGTCGTGGTTCACACGGCGCCATGAAGCCGGGGTGGGGGGCTCCATTCCTGGTGATGACGCACAGTACCAGTCGGAATGCGGACCAAGGCTTGCGCATCCACTAGGTTAACTCAGCCTTAAACGAGTGCCCGGTTCGCTGGTAACGTGGCAAGTGAACGGCGGCCACTGGGAGTAGGGGCACGTAAGGAATGCGTCACTCCGTTGATTAATCTCGACGAATTGAGCTTTGCGATGACACGTGTACCGATGACACGTGCACCGCACCGGCAAGGGAACGCTTTGCAATAACCCGGCACGGAGTCGCATTGGATTGTACGCATGGAAGTCATCGTACGTGCGTACGTGTGTATCAGATCAGTAGCCGAATAAAAGGATGGGGACTGAATCACCGTTGGTGAGGCCCGACCTCGTGCTCGCGTGGATGACCACGAAGGCTTGCCAGGTGTTGTGGGCGAGGTGTTGTGGGCGAGGTGTTGTGGGCGAGGGGCTGTGTGCGGGCCAGGTGCTGGTTTGTCTCCAGTTGCTCCGCTCTCCTCCCCAAAGCGAGGAAGCCAAGCATGCTCATCATTCATGGCGTTGGCCAAACATCCCACAGTAAGACCCTCCTGGATAAAGAGTCTTGAGACTCAATTGAGGCTTTTCTGGATAATTGGCATTATTATTACTGTGGTAATACTGCACTGCGCCTCGACCGCTGATACCCAGGTCTGATTCCTTTTTCTGACCATCAACAACTGCAAATGTAGCCTGTGCCCCCCCCCACGCCTAGGTTGACTCAGACATAAATTAAAACTAGTGGCTACAATATCTAACCCCAATCGTTGTGTAGTTTTAACAATGTAATGCGTGTCTTGTATGAATGGCAACTTGAACGCTTGAGAACTCGCTGGGAATAATGATAATCACGATGATGGTGGTGGTGGTTGCGTCGTTTTGATCTCAACTCTACCCTCCCCCACGTATCCCGCGTCACAATCGGGTAGCCAGGCGCCTCCTGCTCAAAATGTACAAATCCATTCACTGCGTGGGAGGTCAACTCTCCTCTACCGCCGGCCCTGGGGTGGTGTGACGCGCGCCCTCCCGGGCGCCGCCTCACTGCCGGAGACGCGTCTCCAGGCCCCTCGCCCGTCCCCTCTCGCCGTGGCTCACCGACTGCCGCTTGCAATCCGCGAGATGCGGGCGCGCGTTCAGAATCTTCGTGAGTGATGCGGATCGTGCCGTGTGACGGCGACGACGGCGGTGACGTTTCGCTTCAGTGTCGCTTCGAGCGCCGGGAGTGCTACCCACAATGGCGATACGCCGCCTCTCCGGGTCGCGGTTACATTGGAGTAGGCGGCGCGTGAGCAGTAGCCACAGCGACGAGAGGTATACTGGATGCGGTGTGCCGGGTGCAGAAATATTTTGCGGGTTGTCGACCCGGTTCGACCCGGCTGACAATTCGGCCACCCATAATAGAGGTTTGTTTGGGTTAGATTGCGTGAATATATAAATGTTGTGTCGTTAAACCCGCCACCACCCGACACAGCCAACCAATAAGGGTTGTCACGTGAAGAGTACGTGCCAGTTCGTCACTAGTACAGCACTAACCGGTGTGTTGGAGAGCCAAGCCACAACATTTACAATCCGAGTACGACGTTTCGGCAGTAATTACAACCAGCTTCATCAGGCGACAGCCATCCCTACGCTGGAGGTGTCGACGGTGCCGCGTGGCGCTACGAACCCTGTACACCCGGCCGGGCATGCACGCCGAACGGCTAAACAGCGACGCGACCGTCTGGCATCGGCGATAGCACCAATCACGCGCCACTATGGAGCAGACAGCAATTCGGAATGTGCCAGCAGCAGAAATCCAAATCCCCACTTCTAATAAGAAGCAATCGGCCTGCATCGACAAGCGATAGCGGTAACGTGTTTGCGGAATGACAAACGACACTTCAATCGATTACCAATTCCCCTTTTAACGAGCGTAATAACACGAGTAATGACGACTACAGGTAAGGCGGCGATGATGGCGATGATGATGATGACGACGATGGCGATGATGATGATGACGATGATGATGACGACGACGATGACGATGGCGATGATGACGACGATGATTCACGCACACAAACACACTCGACGCACCGGCGATGATGGCGATGATGATGACGACGACGATGACGATGGCGATGACGACGACGATGATTCGCGCACGCAAACACACTCGACGCACCGGCGATGCCCGCGCCAACGTTGCACGAGGGGCACGTGGCCGCATTTGCCCAATCAACGACACGTGACGTCACAGTGGCGACACGTGTTCACGGCCCCGATCGAGGAATGGGCGAGCAAGCGAGCGAAGCTCGAGGCGACTCTTTAAGGCCAGAGAACTCATATCAACAACAATTTGTCTTTGTTGTTGTTGTTGTCTAAAGCTAAAGTTAAGCCCAGACCTTGTCCAATACACAATCAAACTTCGTGTGCCATCTACCTATATAAGTGCTGTGTGTAAGTGCTATCGATAAACGGTTCCATTTGGCAAATGGGCACCGGATTTTTACAGGCGGTTGCGTTTCAACAACGCGCGCCTCGATCGCTGTGCGATGGCCACGACTGAACAAACCACTTTATATCGCCCGACGTTTAAACAACGTTCGTGGCATTTGTACGAGTGGTCTGCGCACACGCAGAAGAGTCCCAGTGAATGTGGAGGCGGCCCACAGGCACTCTCACTGCGCCCACATTTCCCGTGAAGGCCGATCTGGTTCGTTGACCTTTGAGAAAATTTAGGGCAAAAGAGGCTCAGCACCAGCAGGCCTGCAATTGCCTGCTCACGGAAGGTATGTTTGCCTACTCTGTCACGCTGACCAGACGTCTTGGACGGGGTGGGACTACCAACACCTTACCCCACCACACGTAGCCTGCCGATCAGCTGTGGTGAACTCATCGTGCTGCCGGGTGGATTGCCGCTCCCGGAGGTCGAATCGAACCAGCGACGTCTGGATTGCAAGGCCAGAACATCACTCACCGTGACCCCACTGCGGCAGCGTTCCTCGGCAATTAGCCGCGTCTAAATTGACGGACTCGTCAATTTAGACGCCCAGATCATTACGGACGGAGGCATCATCGTCATGTGTGGAGAGCCACCCACCTCCGTGGCGGCATCGAGATGCCTACGCGAGGCAGTGCAGCAAGTAAGTTCACACTTCGTACAAATGAGCATTCCCCTGTCACTTATTTGAAGAAGAAAATAAAATAAAACTCCCGCGGCACGCACGGGTTCTGGAACGCCCGCCAACTGAAACGCTCAAGAGCGTTTCAGTTGGCGGGACCGTCGTCACTTCCGGGCCGCCAGAACGAGGCCCAGCCAGGAGCGTGCCCTGTGACGTCATCGCCTAGGCCGGAGGGCTTATTCTATCTTGATTTCAAGCTTATTCTACGTTTAGTGCTGGTCTTTTGTGTTTTTATTGCCACGTTTCGGGGAAACCCTACGATAAAGTTGCCCAGAAGGTAAATCCCTCGTAGCAACGCGACTCTACGCTTCTATTGGATCTTCTTTATGGGAGTTATCGACCCCCCCCCCCCCCCCCCCCACTACAGATGAACAGACGGAGCTGTGCATTAAGGTTTTCAACCATTCGTTGGAAAGCGTTAATATAAGAAGAGCTTGGTTATACATCCCAAGCAGGACCCTCATGAACACAAGTCTTGAGACTCAGAGAAGGAAACATTCATGGGCAAAGCAAGCAATCATTACCGTATTACGATTCTATCAAATGACAACTGTGTACGCACGTTACTGCGTCCCTGCAGCGCTACCCTGCCTTCTTGGGCTCTGCCTGGTTAATGTCTCCCTTCTCATCCCCTACACCTAAGAAATCCGCTCCGTTCAACTTCGTCAAAACCACTGCAGCCTCATCGCAAACGCCGGTGACTCCAGGCCCTGCCGTGACCCCGATGAACCCACCGGCCTTGCCCTCCAGAATTCCCCCTGCCCCGGCACCGATCATGCTCCCCATCAAGCAACCACCTCCACCGCCAGCCAAGCCCCCTGGTCCACTCACCGCCGTACCGGTGGTGACGGGACATTGCACAGACCCCGACATGCCCCCCACTCCGCTCCCAGACATGCCCCCCACTCCGCTCCCAGACATGCCTCCCACTCCGCTCCCAGACATGCCCCCCACTCCGCTCCCAGACATGCCCCCCACTCCGCTCCCAGACATGCCCCCCACTCTGCTCCCAGACATGCCCCCCACTCCGCTCCCAGACATGCCCCCCACTCCGCCTGATGCGGCACCGCCGGTTAGGGGACTTTGCCCGGGCCCTCCAACTGCCACGCCCCCTACTCCACTCACACCTCGACCGCCCGCCGCACTGCCTTGCCCAGACCCCGCTCCAGCCGCGTTGGCCGCTCCACCCACCGCCGCCCCCCCTGGCAAATCACCGGGTCCAGACCCTGGCCCCGCCACGCCGGTCGTCGCCCCGGTGTCCGTCTCCCGCGTGGGCGCCTCCCCATCATTCTGCTTCTGCCGCCGCTCGCTCGTCCCGGCCCCCCGCGCCCCCCTCTCCGCCGCTTCCTCCTCGGCCGCCCTCTCCCCAAAGGTGACGCTCTTGGCGGCGACGGCCCCTCCTCGTGCCACCGGCCGCCCGCACGGAATCTCGATCGCTCGGCGCGGGGCCGCCGCCGCCGCCTCGCCCGGACCCGGCCCACTCCCCGATCCGGAGCCCAACCCGGACTCGAACCCGGGGCCCGCCGCGCGGGGCGGGCGGCGGACGGGTCGGGGGCTCTCGCTGCCAGCCCTCGTCGTGGCCGTCCCCCCGGTCGCCGGCCCCGCGGCGTCGTTCTCCTGGGATCCACTCTGCTCAGGGTGGGGAAGGGGGGGGGGGAGTGCAGAGGGAGGAAAACGTGGTGCTCACCATCGCCAGTCAACTCGCGAGCCACGCGACCGACCTCTCCAAGCTGGACGCGGGGAGAGAGCGCAGCCCCCCCCCCCCCCCCCCCCCGCTCACGCACCATCCGAGCCGGGCGACGTTGCCCGAGGTCGGTTCGATCGATGCCAAAGCTGCCTCGCGCGGCCTCGACCCTCAAGCGACACCCAACCTCGACCGTCCGCTCGGCCAACGCCGGTACCGCCCGTCATGCCAGGGCGGCGATCGTCTTGCGGCGAGGTGCGGCAGCGTCAACGCCTTGACCTCGCGACCACAAAGGCGAAGCTTCTCCACAATTAAATGAGCGTGGTGGCTCTGAGGCAGCTATCGACGTTTCAAATTGCTATGACAGCCAGCACTATGGCTTAACCGCTGTGTCTCTGACACGGCCAAAATGAGCTCCTGAAAGAAAGCGACTCCCGCGTGGCATCTCATCAGCCCTGGCACGGCGCCTCCCACACGGCCATTGTGAGCAACCCACGTGTTGAGGAGATCTCAATCAACGCCACCGTTATGTCTACCGATTATCTCTCCTATTGCCTGCAGTTAACTCACGGAGCTTCCTTTCTACATTCGTTTCTCCACGTGAATATAAACATCTTTTATTACTTGATTTAAAGCTTTCGTGACTGCAGGAATTCATACTCTTTGGGTCTTCCCAAAGAGTACAAGCAATCGTGTTGCGATCGAAACGTCGTGATCTATTCTTTTTCTATCTCCGTGACTTTACCAAAAGACCCAAAGAGTATCCTTTATTACATTCCATCGGTCACCCAGCCTCACGTTTGCCGTTGTAACTTCCAGACCCGCCCGTACCGGCCATCAGTGAGCTTCATAGCTCATCAGATTCCTCCGGCCTAAGCAATAATTCCGATTGTGACGTGACCGCCCGTAGCCGTCACGACGCTCACCTTCCGGCCGCGCCTCGACGATCCCCTCCGTCCGCGCCCCCCTCCGGGTGCTCCCGCGCCGTCGCCCCCCCCCTTCTCCACCGCGGCGGCGGCGGCGGCGGCGGCGGGGAGCGGCCCCGGCGAGCGGCTGTGCCTGGCGGGCGGGGGCCCCGCGCGGGAGGAGAGGTCACGACGCGGGGCCGTCACCGCGGTCGCCGCCGCCGCCGTGGGGGTTCGCGGGCGACGTGACTCCGGGGAGGAGGAGGACGCTGGGGCCACGCGCTTCCTGCGAGGCGACGTCTCCTGCCGCCGGGCGTCCGGCCTGTGCGCAACCACGCGGGTTAGCGGAATCCCCTCTCGGCCCTTCCAACAGCCGGCCTTCTTTCACGCACGTATATAAGTACGTATGTTGGACTTCTTTCGCACCCTACGTAGTCAACCGTGATAATCAGAGGTGCGGGGGAAGACCGACAAACTAAACGCGAAAAGCAGCTCTAAATTTTTTTTAAAATCTAGATCATTTAAAGGTGCATTACTCCGGTGGTGACCTAGTATCGGAAGGAAGAGCGTTCCAGACGGGCGCATAATCGTATCTGAAAGTGCGCGATGCGGTGACCGTCTTTGTTTAATTGCCGGCCAAAAGCCGCTGCTGTGGAGATGACCGGAGTTCGCGTGATGATGGTTTATACTCCTCGACGAGATCAGCGAGGTATTGTGGTTCATTTGTGGCTAGCACTTTGTGTGCAATGAGCGCGACCTTATCACGTGTTCGTTTCAGATCAGCGCAGGCAACCCCCCGGGTGGGAGCTGTTCCCTGTGCGGCACAAAGGTGGCCGCAGGGCGCTTTGAGCGCCTCGGCAACTCAAAGCGTGTCACGTCACGGACAATGCTCCGCGTGGCCGGGTGGGGAGGGGAAGTGCTGCCCCCTGTTTGCGAGGATCAGAGGTTCGCTTGATGGGATCTCAGTGGTAGTTCTGCGGTAGCCGCTTACGTGGGTCAGTCTCTTGACACGGAGGGTTGCAAGTCCTCTGCGGGAGTTCTTCGTGGACTCTTCTTCTCATCACGAAATGATACCAATTGCCCAATCGGGATGAACTTGGGAGGAAAAAATTAATAGAGACGTAACGTAAAAAAACGAGCTGACAAGCCAATCCATTACGTGAGCCTCCGTTCCTTCGCTTCTCGCTTGCTGGGGCATTCGACCAGCTCAGCCAGGGGTCGGCAACCGAACTATCAAGAAGATTCACATTTTTTTAGCTTTCGAATTCAGTAACAAATTCTATATTTAAAGAGCCGCAATGCAATGCATGTGAACAGGAGGCGGTGGTGGGACCTTGATCAATAACTGTCACGGAGCGAGGTCCTTAAAGAGCCGCACGCGGCTCAGGAGCCGCCCGGTTGCCGAGCGCCAGAGCCAAGCGAGCACCACGCACTCGAACGCAGGGCCTCTCCCCAGGCCTCGTGAGCCTCACAGCACACTGCACGCACCTGCTGATTGGTAATCACGGACTGTTCAGCACTGTAACAGAGGGACGTTTGCTCTGGCCCGCTTCAGGTCGTTTGACGATAACCGGTCAAAAAAAAACCGGTAACCGTTTTCAGAAGCAGTTACCAGGTCTGGGAAAAAAAAGTCCGGAACAGGAACGGGGGGGGGGGGGGGGAATCAATCGATTCGAGTGGAATTTGTGTCACGAATTCGCGGCGAAATCGTCCACGTGGCGTGGCTCATCACCACGCGTTCTCAGTTCGAGTGTAAAGGCGCGGCCTGCAACGGCGCGCTCGCGTCACTGCCGGGCAGCAGGGCTCCTCTAAAGGGAGCTCTGGAGGGGTAATTGGTCTACTCTTCCACGCCGGATTGCAAGGTTTTTCAGTTCAAAAGGTGAATCTGTTATGTGTATTGCTCGAGACACACTTCGATTTGTGCAGGGCACTGGTGAACCGGTTTTGACCTTTTTGCAATGCAGTTGCTGGGAATGCAAAAAACCCGGGTTTAACAGCCCTGATCCGGAGTAGAGCAGCAGCACGGCTCGAACGCATCTGCGCTAATTGCCGTAGCGTGCAGCATGAACACAAATCATGAACACCGTCGTAATTAAAATATACACACAGTATGTAATTGGCAATTCCACCCAAGAAGCACACCGGATCTAAGCGGTGCGACTGGTAACCCCATGCGGTAAGTAACACGGCGATCGGTTTAGGGGTTGTCCGGCTTTCATGACAACATCTGAAACGCCCTTGAAGGGACAGACGGACGGGAAAAGATTGATGGATGGATCGTAGAGACGGAAGGGATGGATGGGACATGCGGTCGGATCTACTATTCGGACAAAAAGGACAGATTATGTCTTGGGTGCATAGAAAGATGGGATAGACAGATTAATTAATGGATGGGTTCAATGGATGGATCATAAATAAGCGCATGGATCAGAGAGACAGAGGGATGGATGGGCCAGAGACAGAGGGACGAGGAGGAGAGGCTGAGTGACCGAGGCGTTCGTTGTCGGTCACAGCAAAGCGCAGCCTCGCGGCGGCGCCCGTGCAATGAACGGGGCCAAATCAAAGATTTGCACCGACGACGACACAGGAGGTGCCGCTCTGTGAGCATCGGGGCAACTGCCGCCGTCTCCGTCACCCGACGCGTTCACGCGACGTTCACGCGGCCACTCCGACACCCGCCGAGACACCCACGCGGCCGGCCGCACTTCACGGGCACAGAGCGCCGCCTGCTGGTCTAAGCTCTGCACGTTTCACGGAGATTTTTTTAATGTTAATTAGGCATTAAGCTATCGGTATTTGGTGCGTATATTGTCCGGTGAAAATAATGGTACGGAACTGAACATGTGAATATACACGTTTGCGAATGTGTCCCATTGTGAATGGATACATTTGTGAATAGATGAATTTGTGAACGGTTGAATGTGTGTGTTAGACACATTGTTATTCGTGGTCAGACACATGATGACATTATTTATATCTGGTGATGCCGCTGCGACGTTGGCACGTCCACAACGCGGCCTTACGTGAAAAACATAAAATTTAAACTTTCAGTCATATATATTGTACAGTGACGTTTTAGGGGTATGCTTTGAAGAAGGCCCATTGCCCGAAACGTTATCGATTACTGTATAAAAAATATATATTCTAATGTTACAGTGTTGTTGAAGAGCGTGCTGGTTTTTGGACGATATTAAAATGATCGTGCGATGTTTTTATCAGCCAACACAGCAGCATTTTGTCTAAGCTGCAAAACTCTGGAGAGGTCTCCACTTCTCTACGCATCAGTGGGCATGTTTACACACCGCGCCAGGTACTCATTTGGGGCTGAGTCGACCTTGGGAAGGTTCAGGACTGGTTCAGATACGCGTTACTGGTGTTGGCCGTGAGTGAAAATCGAGAGACACACACAGAGACAAAGATCCCCCGTTTAGCCTGCACAGACTGTTGGGGCAAGTGCTGTCAGCGATCACCTACGAAGGCCGGCACGGCACACGACGAGGGGGTGGGTGGCCAGCCCCACGCCTGGCCGCCAGAGAGACGCGGAGAGAGACAGAGAGACGCACCTGGTGGTTGCCTGCACGGGCATGATGCAGACCTCGCGGGCCATGGCCAGCAGGGCTGTCGACTCCGCGCCGTGCTTCTTAACAAGGGGCTCCCCCTCCCCGTCGCCAGCCGGCCCCATCATCCCTCCACCGTCTCGCCCCGTGGCGTCTTCACCCAGCAGCCTCGTGTACACAGAGTCCTGCTGCTGCTGCTGCTGCTGGTGCTGCTGCTGACCGTGGTGCTGTTGGTGGGGTAGCAGCTGCTGCTGCTGCTGCTGAAGTTGGTCGTGGTGGTGATGACCCCACTGCGGCTTCTCGCGTCTGTGTAGAGGCCACACCCTGAAGTCCGCCTTGTACTGAGTGTCGTTCGAGAAGGGGTCTTCCGGCGGCAGGTACTCCCGGCGCGGCTTGCAGCTCGGCTCGCGCGGCACCCTCCACGCCTTGTAGTCGCTGCGGGTCACCGAGCGAGACGCCCCGCGGCTCGACGGCTTCTCAGGCGCCTCGCGGGCAGCAGCAGCAGCAGCACCATCCCCACCACCGCCACCAGCGCTCACCCCCAGCCCTTGCTGCTGATGATGATGCTGATGAGGATGTGGATGCCCGGGTCCCGGATGGCCACCGCCAGAATTGGCGGCGGCGGCGGCAGCTTCGTTTGCTGGTGGCAGTAAAGATTCCTCGGCGAATGTGGCGTGAGTGAGAGGGATGGAGATGTCGTCCACGTCCAACTGGTTCCAGCAGCGAGCCAGACAGCAAGCCCGGTTGACGCACGGCCACGCCATTGTGGGGACGGTGTGTGTGGTGTGTAGGTGTGTGTGGTGTAGGTGTGTGGTGTAGGTGTTTGTGGTGTGTGTGGTGTAGGTGTGTGTGGTGTGTGTGTGGTGTGTAGGTGTGGTGTGTAGGTGTGGTGTGTAGGTGTGGTGTGTGTGTGGTGTAGGTGTGTGTGTGGTGTGTGTGTGGTGTGTAGGTGTGTGTGTGGTGTAGGTGTGTGTGTGGTGTGTGTGTGGTGTGTAGGTGTGTGTGTGGTGTGTAGGTGTGGTGTGTAGGTGTGGTGTGTAGGGTGTGTAGGTGTGGTGTAGGTGTGGTGTGTGTGTGGTGTAGGTGTGTGTGTGGTGTAGGTGTGTGTGTGGTGTAGGTGTGTGTGTGGTGTAGGTGTGTGTGTGGTGTGTGTGGTGTGTGTGGTGTAGGTGTGTGTGTTGTGTGGGGTGTGTGTGTGCGGTGTGTGTGTGAGGGGGGGGGTGTGTGATGGGGTGTGTGTGTGTGGTATGTGTGTGTGTGGGGTAGAGAATGCAATATCCTCTGTTCTTCACGGTGGATTAATTATCTGCTAGACACACGGAGAGACATCCACTTATATATACTTATACTGAATAATATAATTGTAGTGTATCTGTGCATGAATGTCTGTCTCCCTACCCGCTGTAGATCCCCTGTGAACGCGTTGCAGGTCCGTGCAAGCCTGGCGACGGTGTGGAAGAGGCTTCAGCCAGCAGTGGATAGACAATGGCCGCTGCTGGTGCTGCGAATGCCTATAATGTGGTTGATGATCCTACAACTGCCATTAAGTCTGCCACTTATGATGATGATGATACGGCTGCTGCTTCGAGTGCTGATGCTGCTGCTACTGCCGCCGAATACATTGCGTCTGCTGGTGATTGATGCGGCTGCTGCCGAGAGCGATAACGACGTCGATCTGCGACGTCGCCTTCTCGAGCAGAGAGCGGTGGATGTTGCGGTGCGCAAACCGAGCTGCCGGCAAAAAGACGCATCGGCCGAGAGAGGCAGGCACAATGGGTCGCTGTGCGTACAGAGGCGAGATATTTACCCGTGAGAGGCGAGCTAAAGGTTGACTACGCCCAGCGTCGATGCGTGATGTTGCAGAAACGATGTTGTCGCGCCAGTGATGTCCGCTGATGATCCACACGCGTGCAGCGTGCCGACGCCTGCACCGTCTTTTGTCTTTGCGTCCTGGTGGGTCGAGGTGCTCGCTGACAGCACTTGCCCCCGACAGCCCGATGTAGGAGGCTATGCGGGGGATCTTTGCCTGTGTCCCGGTGTCTCCGTCCCCCTCTCTCTCTCTCTGTCCTTGCACGCAAATCGGAAGAACATTCGCAATTGGCGGAGCTTTGCGCTGCTGCTGCTGCCTGTCCAGCACTGCAATGCGAACGTCACGAGTAGGCGTTCGGGCTCATGTTCCAAGCCAGCATTCTGTTGCCACAGTATATGGATACTGTATTAAGGTGGGAGCGGTGGTGCAGTGGTTAGCGCGCTGCGCTACGAACCCGGCGACGCGAATTCGATTCCCGTTCACGGCCAATACCTGTGACGATTAATGAACCGGTCCTGGGCTTCCCTGCAGTCGACTCCGCCATAACATGAGTATCTGGTGCGGTGTGTGAGCATCACCACTCGGGAGACAAAGGCGGCCGGGCGTGGTGCTGTCCACCCACCCCCCTCGTGTGTCGTTCTGGCCTACATGGGTGCTCGCTAACAGCACTTGCCCCAAGTCTGTTAAGGCTAGACGGGAGATCTTTGTCTTTGTACAAACCACGAGTCCTGAAGCAATGGAGACCTTCCGGCCGATCCTTCTCTTTGTAAGAGAAACCAGCTGAGAGGTGAGTTTAGCACGTCGTAGGCTTTCGTGACCAATATTATTTATAAAAGGTTGTTGGGTTAGATCGCGTAAACATAAATGTGTCGTAATCCTCCACCACCCGACAGCCAATTAGTAAGGGATTTGCCACCGGTGTGTTGGAGAGTAAATCCACAACTTTAACAATTTTAGTTCTGGCAAATCGCCCGATGATGCTGGATGCAATTACCAGCGAAACGTCGTACTACTCAAATTGTAAATGTTGTGGATTTACTCTCCAACACACTGGTGGCCTGAAGTAAGTACCGTGACAAATCCCTTACTAATTGGCGGTGTGGGGTGGGAGGGTTACGACACATTTATACATACCACGCTCGAACCCAAAAACCGTTATTATGAATCTAAAGGCCGTCAGTTTTGGGGCCAGCATAGAACAAAAATTAGATTGTTGTTGTTATTGTCGGTGGGTGGGGGTGATTTTGATAATTATACGCCGAGACTCGACTAGAAGTGTAAACATTCAGCTTCCTAGCACTGCCAGATCATCATCCTTATCAAAGTGGCCCGTTAAACGCCCTTCGACATGACAATTTATTTGGCTGTGTCGGGTGCTTGAGGGCCTTACGGCAGAGATTTGGCCAGATCACTTCGTGGCCGAACCACCAAAAAAGTATGGATCACATTAGCTGGCAAAACCTCCTGCAGCCGTCTGGAACGCTCTTCCTTCTATTAGGAAGCCACTGTAACGATGCCTTTTAAATCTTGACTGGAAACGCATTTCTTTAAAAGTGCTGTGTTTAGCCTGTTGCCCCCCCCCCCCCCACCTCTGATTAACAAGGTTGGCTACGTACGGTGCGAAAGAAGCTCAACATAAACATATCTCGAGTTATCGTCGGCTGATTGTACAAGTCAAATCGGAGCGATCGACAGCTTCACCCACTCTTCGGAATCTCCATGAACGCGGACCCGAGCCCTTGAGTTTCCCGGCCACATAGACCTGGTGGTAGTCAGCTGTCACTCTTGCACAGGACTCCTGCTGGGCATGAGCTGCTGGGCATGAGGTCCCGCCGGGTTCAACAAACCCAACTCGAAATTGGTCGACTCGTGGCACCAGCAGAAGACAATTCCGTGTCGCAGGCTCTACAACTTTTTCAACGCTGCCGCACCATATTGAGAGCTTCTCCACATGCCTTGCGTTTTTGAAAATGTATTAAATACTATTAATGACGGCCCTTTTTGTCATTCCACTGCTAGACGAAGGCTTCCTTTTAGCAGTCAGTCGTGGGAGTTGTTCGACTTAACGTCACACTGGTCAGTGCAGGCTGGTAAAGGAGGGCCCCCCCCATCACCGGCTCAAATATAACGAGCCACGGATGTTCTACTCGGCCGAGAAATGAACTCGGGTCTATCAGGTTCAGAGCAGTGCTACATCGGCCTTGCCAGGCATTGACATAGCTGCTGCATTGATATTGCTGCTGCATTGACATAGCTGCTGCATTGATATTGCTGCTGCATTGATATTGCTGCTGCATTGACATTGCTGCTGCATTGATATTGCTGCTGCATTGATATTGCTGCTGAATTGATATTGCTGCTGCATTGACATTGCTGCTACATTGACATAGCTGCTGAATTGACATCTCTGCTGCATTGATATCGCTGCTGCATTGATATCGCTGCTGCATTGATATCGCTGCTGTAGATATCGCTGCCGATACACTTGGGCTACGCTCATCTCCAAACCTTTATAAACAATTTTCCTTGACAGGCTAACCCCTTTTCCTGATGACGACCGCTTGTGTTGAGATCGAAACGTCGTGACATTTGTATTCACTTTATTTTTTTTATTTTGCCTATCTACTTGACTTTACCTAAAGAACCAGAGTAAGACCCTTATTTTAAACCGGTCTTGAGACTCGGCAAGACATTCACGTGTATATTGACATGTGCATGATAGTATTTATTGTAATATGTGAAGTATTTATTTATATACCACACGACCTCAAAAATTACTTATGGCTGTTTTTATTAACAGACAATTACTGTATGTTACATGAACATTAACAAAAAAAAAGCTACACATTCCTTCCAAAATATTATCATGGTTGATTTTTCAAAGCAATGTAACAGTATATTCTGCTCTATAATCGGCCATATTAAAAACAAAAAAATAAACTCATTACGGTCAAAAAGGCACAAAATAAATCAAATTGCCTGCTCCAATACTAACACATGAGCCACCTTAAGGGCATTATACCATTAACTACTCCACCATACGCTTAGCCAAAATGTCCACTTTAAAAATTTCCTGTTAAATAATAACAATAAAGTGTAAATTCGCATAATTCGGCGCAAGTAAAATCTTGCAAAGTTTTTAAAAAATCTTGTATCGCGAGCGATACAAGGACGAGAAGTCCCTTAAAGTGGCTCAAAGAAGGGCGGGTTTGCGGGGAGGAAACAGAAATACAACAAAACTGAAAGATGTTGACATAAAACGTGTTAAGTTGTCGTTTTGTTTTTTATATAAACGTGTTATCAGCTCGTTCAAGAGCGAAAGCTTGCCCTCTGGTGTGGGATCGTCAGCGAGGGTGCGGCAGCCGGCGTGTTGCGTGATGCCTAAGTCACCGACGACGGCCATTCACAGCAGCGAAAGAAAGCGCGAAGACAAACTTGCCCCGTGACCCGCAGCGCTCACGAGGTGCTGAGAGGTAACCCCACCTAAAATTCCGATGCGCTAAACAAAAACCCCAAAATGCTCCAATCGACAAAAATTACTGTTCTTTTTTCCGTTTTTTAAATTTCTCGATAGACAAAAGTAGAGAAAACATGTTCACGATTCTAAGCTAAACAACCAATGCCAAGTCCTCTTTGCTTCCAAAACTGCATAGTAACGGTTGGTTCTAACTTCAATTGTAATCATGATCACACGTTATTGGTTTCTTTGATAATTTCATTTTAAAATATTCGTCAAAATGTGCATGTTGATGTTCAGATGTACGTGTTTTTTATTGTCCGTGCACCATGATACACACAAGCAGAAAACTATTTTTCGTAAGTGAAAATGTTTACTTGTTGGGCAAAAACTGCTGCACGCGCCCATGCGCATGAGGGAGGTCAGTCTACAACCCAAGTAAATCTGTAAAAAATTTAAATGCATCAACGAAAACAAACAAGCAAGAAGAAATGTTTGCACACTGTAATATATATATTTTTCGCGTTCCTATAAATGTTTGGGCATGCCGCCATTTCATCTGCCCGGTTCTACATCAACACGACAGCCTGATAAGACTGGAAAACAAAAATAAAGAATTTTAAATTAATTTAGTCAATTTACAACCGAAACGACAGCAAGTCTTATTTACTTTCGTTCTTTTTTTAATATTTTACGTTTTGTACAAATGCGGCATTTGCCAATGTTCCTTTGTGAGCACAATGTTCATTTACACTGGAGAGGAATCCCAGGGCAGAGCCCAAAGAGAACGTGCAATGGAACAGCAGTCAGCCTTTAACAAACCCATCCCCCCCCCTCTCCGTAAAAACAATTAAGCGGAAACAAATTAGAACTGCTGCAGAAATGTAAATGCTAGGTTTGTTGCAGTTTAAATTTTTAACAAAAAAATTGTAAGCAGAATTTAAAGCCTACAATTACTCCATAACACAAATGTGTAACATGGTGATGCCAGAACAGCAATGCCCATATCCCTGGTTACAAATTACAAGTTGGCAATTATGAAGCAAATACCACGCGTCTGACTTAAGTGCCGAGCAGTGATTAAACGGATGCGTAAAAAAAACCCCAACTGATTACAATTTTGCACAAGAACCCGCAGAGAAAGATGACATTGAAAATATTAACGTCAAACAGTGACCGATGGTTGTAGCAAAATTTAGAAATGGAGAGCAAATCAAGAAAAGGATGCGATTTTATATAATTTTGTAGGTTTTCGTGTCTGTTTATTTAATATATACTACAATAACATCCGTGAAACAAAATTTGCAAAGCAATGTTAAAACGATATCAGCTCTGCTCAACAAGGGGGTTTTGCTAACGTCATTCAATAGACTGTTCTCCCAAAGAATCGTAGGGTAGCTTTAATTTAGAAAAAAGTAACAGCCCATCTTTCTCCCCCCTATCACACAGTTTATGCCCTAAGTACAGCAATTACCTATTTGCAAAATGAAAGTTCATTAAAAAAACAAGTGTATAATTTAACGCTCTAATTTTATTCACTTTCGAGCCCACCCTTATCCTTACGAAGCAAAATCCACCCCAAGGTGGTGGGCAAAGTGAAACCTTTTTACAATGTGGCTCAGAGGGCTGCGGCGACTGCTACGACATCTAAATGCTCACCCACGCGCGTTTACCAATGACACCGGCACGGCAAATGCTGAATGAAGCGCACGCTAGCAACCCCATCGCTACGGAATTTAACCCCAACTTGTTTTGACGCCCCTCCACAGCACTGATCTGTAAATATCATTGTTGCTGCTGTTGTTTCATAAGTTTCCAAACAAATTCACAAATGCGTAGAGTTGTTTTTTTGCTTTTTCATTAGTAAATCCACCACCCTAAAAATTGACTGAACAGTTTTGTTTGTGTTACGGTATTTTGTCTCTTTTACGGCCATCATCGTTTCGCGTCGCCTTCAAACCCGACGGCGGCGTGGGGCGGACCGAGCCGCCGGGTGGGTGGTACGCGCAGCTGGGGCTAGTTGGGGAACGGCGGCGGACAGAGTGGGCGTGGCGGAATAAAGGAGCGTGAAAGGAGGCGTGGGCAGGGAGAAGAAAAATAAAAGAATAAAACTAAGAAGCCGCCCCTGCAGGACACCACGGTGTGACCCCCTTGGCCAAACCATCAACCCACAGCGCCCCGCCCCCCGACAACACCGCAACGGCCGCCACGCGCAGCCCCGTGAAACGGCAGCTTAAAACTTGAACCCCTCGGTGGGGATGTTGGAAGAGGGGTCGAAGGAGAAGGTTCCAGCTTGGTTGGTCTCCGGCAGGAGGCCTGGCTCCTCGTCAATCTGGGATGGAGAAACGAGAGAGAGGAGGCGGACCCCCCATCGTTTAGCCTTAAACAACGCCACCTGGGCGAGTTTCTGTCAGCGAGCGCCGAGTGAGGGCTTGGGCTTACGTCATCAGCTGAAAAGTATTGGTCGATGATCTCGTAGGCCAGCTTGTAGATGTCCTCATTCTCGTGCTGCTGAAGAGCTTCAATCTTCTCCAGGCCTGTGCGGGGGGACAAGTGGAATGTTACTTAAAGAAGACGTTGCTTCCCAACAGAAAGAGCTCTTATCTTTTGGATATGTATTAGAAAATGCGGATCGCTGACTTCTTATAGGAAGTCCGAAGTTGAATTTATAAAAAAAGCATGAAACGCAATGGACAAAAGAAGTCCCATTGGCAAATAAACGTCATTTTGTTTTTAAACGATTAAATAAATCCACTTGTTATTTAATGTTAGGATTGATTGGCTCATTTATCATGTTGAACACCCAACACGGACAGAGCTTTGGTATGCATCTGTGAGCAAAAGTCTCTTGGGGTGGGGTGTTATTTTAAAGGAACACGGTGTCCAATTGTGGCCCTGAGCCAGGCGGTTATTCAACATTCCCATGGCAGGGTGGCATTCTCCCGACATCACACACACACCGTCACACACAGTCACAAACACACACACACATCGTCACACACAGTCACAAACACACACACACACCGTCACACACAGTCACAAACACACACACACACCGTCACACACAGTCACAAACACACACACACACCGTCACACACAGTCACAAAACACACACACACACACCGTCACACACAGTCACAAACACACACACACACTGTCACACAGTCACAAACACACACACACCGTCACAAACACACACACTGTCACACACAGTCACACACACACACACCACCATCAACACACACTATACACGCACACCATCACACCTTTCCAGAGTGGGACTCGTTTTATATACACAACCAGGACTTTTGGCTTGTGACTTTGTGGCAGATAATTGAAACTCAACCACTTTCACTGTAACAATAAGGTTTTTCCCCTTTTTTTTCTGGCAATAAAACTAAAACATTTTTACTCGAAATCATGTCAGCATTAACCACAATACTTGTGGTCAGATTGCAAACAAAAAACACTCTGATAATATATGCATTGTCTTTGAAAGTGATTGGTTTACACCAGAGACGGCTTTCTTTTGAGCCTCGTCTCAATTGGTGCGAGACCAGAGGACGCCAAAAGGTCATCACTGCCCACACCGTCAATGCCGCAAGCCTAGCCATAGCTTCCTTCTATCAGATTCTACAACGAGCAGCAGCAAAATCAGATTAATAACAAAGGTTATGGGGTTAGATCGCGTTATTTATAAATGTGTGGCAACCCTCCACCACCCAACACAGCCAATCAGTACAAAAAGTGTCACGTTGACAAAAGACAAATGGTTCACTACTTTAGCCCACGGTGTGTTGAAGAGTGAATCCACAGATTACTACAATTATGAGAACAATTTTTATTTTATTTTACTAGGTCAGGCCCACTGACCTATCTAGCTCTTTTTCAGAAGAAACCTGGCCACAAATGATAGCTCAACGAAGTGGCTTATCAACTGGAAAATTATAGCAGCCAAATACTGAAAAAGCATGTTTCTAAATGTGGAGGGAAAAACCGGAAGACCCAGAGAGAAAATGTCCATGGGACCACGGGGAGAACATGCAAACTCCAAATATACAAGTGTCAGGATCAGGATCTCCTGTATACCAGGCAGTTAACATCGCTTATTTAGCATCAACAAGGGTGTGCATAAACCATGGCATCTCCTGGCCACAGGGTAAAAAGCCAAGAGTTGGTGCCAGCCCACCTCCGCACTCCTCGATCACGCTGGCAATCGTCTCCACCTCCTCGCCCGCCATCTTCAGGATGTTGTTGAGGCCATCGAGCACCACCTGCACCACCTGCGGGTCCTTGACGGCGAGCAGTGCGCAGAACGGCGGGATCACGTTCTCCCGCACCAGGTACTCCACCTGCCACGCGCACACACGCGCACACGCGCAGCCCGCGGGTGGAAAAGTGTAGCCGGGTGGCGACGGCGTAGGGATGGGGTCGGGGGGCAAGGGCGGTTGAGCACCGACGGCGTGGACCCAATCACAGAATGCTCTCGAAAAACACAAAGCAGGGACACTTTTTGGGACAAATTTCCTTCACAGATGCGCACTGTCGTGTCAGTATTTTGGCACGATTGCAAAATAATGAAAAAAATTACATGCAGCCAATCGGTAATCCCTCACTCCTACTCGTAACCCCAATCCACCCACACATGGTTGTTACGCGCATTAACATTTACATTCTCGTGAGCCCAAGAAAATCTTTTGACGGCAGCAATATTTTTTTTACGGAAGCCACGAGCTCTAAGGTAACACGACCACTACTCGAGAAAAAGGTACAAAAAAAACCCTAAATGATCCGGAAGCTATTGCAAGGGGGCCAGGAGATGGCAGTACAACTATGAATTATTGAGCTTGTACGGAGCTTTGACATGTCTCCCTTGATGAGCATGAGTTGTGTGTACTCAGATTCCTCTCACATGCCAGACACTCACAGATTGAATTAGCCAAACTTCCCAATACAAGGCCTTTCTGAAGAATCGACAAGGACATTTGAACGAAATAACAGAATTAGAAATTTTTCAAAATTTTTACTACACCGGCGAGTAACGTCATGAGGTTAATTATAACCAGATGTCGTTTTAAGGATGTTAATCCTGCCAGCGATACAGATGGCACGAGCGTAAAGCAACAATGATGGCCACAGGAGTCTTGGAACGAGCCAGCTTCTGCTGCCCAATGTGTGTCCATTCGTTTTACCTTCCCTGCAGACGGCAGGACATTCTGCAAGGAATACGCTTTTGGTTGCAAATATCACAGCCACTGACGATGACCAATAATAACGACAAAGTCGCTTACACAGGAAAGCCTCAACCGAGTCCCAAAACCCATTTTAACAAGGTACTGCATGTAGAAGTTTATAGACAATTCCATGTTAAGGAGCGCTTTACACGTGGGGGTAAGAATAGCACAGGAGAAACCCCGTACAAAGAACCAGGCGAGTTCACAAACCTACCTGCTTGTCTTCCATGTACTGGCCAGTGCACACATCTGGGAGGTTTGGAAGTCTCACAAATCTACGTGACCCATCAAAAGCCTTGCCGCCAAGATGCTTAAACAGAGGCATGCGTAAACCTCGCCACCTCTTGGTGGCATTGGTGGTCGAGGCTACAGTGTACCATGCACCTGCAACCCAGTCGGGAGGCCGAACCGATGGTGATTTTATGCAAGGCGACAAGGCGCTTCCAACTAGTGGGCAGCAAAGCAAGTAGGTTGGGGACCTCTATGCAGATTGCCAAGTGCTATTCATTCACATTCATGGGCTCTCTCAGGGCACTTTGGTTATTCAACATGTAAAACAATACTCAGAAAAGCAACCGATCAAAACATTGCAAAAGCAGGGCGCTCCTAACAATGACCCTCGAGACGCATGCACACATGGAGGCGGCCATCGTGTTGCCAAACATCCTTAAACTTACGGCATTTTATGGAAAGAGCAATAAGAAAACAAAGATTATTTAGTTTTATTAGGGAGCAAGGAGTGCAGGGGGGGCTAAGGAATGCTCGTTGAGGAAAGTGCACTGACACAATTGTCAAATTTCAGACAAGATCTAGCAGACATTGCATTAAAGCAAATTTTTGTCACAGAAAATTAAGGAACTCAATATCAAGAGCCTCAAACTCAGCGCCAGATCAGCGTGGGGGGAAGGAGAAGGAGGTGTGTGTGATACCTGGTCCTTTCTGCCACTGATGGTCAGGTTGCTGATGGCCCACGCTGCCTCTTTCTGCGTGCCAAAATCTCCCTGCCATGCAAATAAGACAGACATCACGATGTCAATGACAGCCCTTCTTTCCACCGTCCGAAAAATAATGGTAATCGCATGTACGTGTATCTGCAAGCATGCTTCATGTGTGTGCATGTGAAACGTGGATCCTCTTTACAGAAACACCGGCTTGAAATATTTGGGATGGTCTGCAAACAAACCATCCTGGGCTTGCCCACATTGCAACATGCGAGGCGTTGTGTTTATGTGCCTGTTTTTTTAATGTACATACATGTTATCTGGAAATATCCACTTGTCATTACGTGCGTTTATATGTGGGTATAGGTCTGTGTGTGCCCATGCTGGATGCTAGGCACCTTGGCCAGGTGGTGGATGATCATGGGAATGAGGCCGGCATCGATCACAGCCTGCACCTGCTGCTGGTTCCCAGCCGTGATGTTTGACAGGAACCACACGGCCTCCTGCAACAGGCCACAGCACGAGCAGCACGAGCATACAATCGACATCGTCAGCATAGATCAATCGACAAGCCACATCAATTAACTGCCCAAGGCATACGTCATCACAATCACATTCAGTTCAATGCAAACCTTCTGTTGGAAACCTACATCATGTCTGTATTATATATCTACAGCGCTTGTCAATCCACTGGTCGAGGGGTTTATTTGACCACCCAGCTTGTGAGTGTGTTTTGAGGTGGGAGCTTAAGTAAAGCACAGCGATGGATTTCGCTGCACTGCCCTCCATCATCATCTATGACACCAGTTTGATGCGTGGCCATCACCCATCCAAGCACTATCCAGGCTCAACTTTGCTTCGTTTCCGAGACCTGACGAAACCAGATGAATTCCTGATGTTGTAACAGACTGAGGCTCAAAAGAAAGCCGTCTCTGGTGTGGGCCAATCAGTTTCAAAGGCAATGCATATATTATCAGAGTATGTTTTTTGTTTGCATTCTGACCACAAGATGTGGTTAATGCATACATGATTCCTTGTAAGGTTTAAGTTTGGTGTTTTAACATCTTAACACCTGTTTTGTTGCCAGAAAAAAGGGGAAAATCCTATTATCGCACTGATCGCCTCTTTAGTAAGAACTTGTAGCAAGAACTGGAGTAATATGTTTATTTATGGGAACACTTAGTTTCACTTCTAGGCTCAACTGAAAGGAATCCTCGACAGTATGTGTCCGGACACCCTGGGGGGACACCGCTGCTTTGGCACGCCAACTCATCTGCAACGAGAGTCGTTTTCTGGGCCGAGTCTCCCTTTCAGTGGGTGGCAATCGACAGCGGACGATCTCGATTGCCAAGAAAGGCGGCACCTCCGCAGCGGCAATCCACGCGGTGCGTAAGCGCACCTTGTTGATCTTCTCCTTGGCGTGCGTGAGCAGCGCGGGGAAGTGGGAGAGAGCGTCGCAGTTGAGCACCACCTGCGTCTGCTCGTCCGTGCCCGTCACGATGTTGCCCACGGCACGCAGGGCCGCGGTCTAAACCGGCACCACCACACCGGAGTGCACATGCACGCACACACACACAAAATACTCGATTCAAGAAACGTATCGACTCTCATCTATTATGTGCTCAATATATATGCATGTAGAACTTCTTTCGCACCGTGTGGCCAACCGTGCTCATCGAAAGTACTGTTTATTGCGGGTGACTTGGCATGTTGGGCTTTTGAGCATGTGACTCAGGAACCATGATACAAAAAATATGCAGGCAGATGCCTTATTCTTGACGAGCAGATTGATGAAATATATAAATGTGTGGAGACATTTTTCAATCCACTGCTGGGTCAAAGGTTTCCCATGCCCTGAAACAGTAAACATTTTATTAAATGTATTTAATAAGAACACCTGCATTGCCTTTACAATGGAAATCTAACAAGTGTGATTCATTAGTTTTTCATTGTGACTTGCTACATTAAAGCCACAGTAACAAGCCACACACAATTGCCATTGTGGCTAGATGTTAACTACCTCGCCTGGTATACAGGAGGTCGTGGGTTCAATCCCGACCCTGACGCCTGTTAATTTGGAGTTTGCATGTTCTCCCTGTGCTCGCGTGGATTTTTCTCGAGGTTCTCCAGTTTTTCCCACATTTATGAACGAGCATTTAAAGTATTTCTCTGCTATAAATTTCAACATAATCCACTTCGTTGAGCTATCATTTGTGGCCAAGTTGCTTGTGAAAAAGAGCTATATAGTTCAGTGTGCCTTACCTAGTAAAACAAAAATAGTTTAATAATTTGAGTTTTTAAACAGACGTAAAATACTGATCGCACAATAACTTCTATTTTACCTATTATTTTACATCTAAGTTCACTGCAGCGACAACTCGAAGCCATTTCAATATAGCGCAAACCAAACATCACACAGGCATTTCCACCACTGTATACACGTAAACTACCAACACTTCTGTAATATTAAACATCACGCACCTAACATACAGAGTATAGTACACTCACACGAGCAAAAAGTGCACTCAAAACCACAAACAAAACTTACAAGAACACAAGTATCACGCATATGTAACCCAAACAAAACACGCAACAAACCACACGACACTCGCACACATCACAAGGACTGACACTGCAAATTATACAGACCTGAACTTTGACCTCCTGGTGGCTGAGCAGCGGCACCAGGTAAGGAACGACCCCGGAATCGATGACCATCTGAATCTGCTCATTACCGCCGTCCGTTAAGTAGGAAAGGGCCCACACAGTGTCCACCAGGATCTATCCACCAGCGCGCACACACACACCGGGGGGGGCTTTGTTAACGCCACACTCCTGAGAAGATGCGTTTAATATTCAGCAGTGGTGATAGCTCCCATCTCACGATGAAAACGCGCTCGCTATTTCACATCACTGTATGGGATTAAATTGGCCCCTCATCCCCGACTTGGGTCTAGAAAATAAGCACCACTTTGCGGAAAAGTAATTTCTGAAGCACAGTGTCCAGTGCCATATGAACAAGGAATTTCCTCCACCGACTAGCAACACAAACACACTAAGCCTGATTATACCATGGTGGTGGAGGTTCGTTTCATCCCATTTTTGACAAAAGCAGCCAATTTCTCCATCAGCAATAAAGGGGCAACTTGACAGTGATGTTTTGGTTGTTCCATCATAATGTGAATGTGGTTTTTGACTTTTATATCCCAATTTTTTAAATTACGTCAAGACGCAGCCAAGACGCTTCTGTTTCTGCTGCTCTTTAGAATGAAGTAACCATACCGCAATAACCTCTAAACGAGCGCACAGATTCTGGCACTATATACCATTTTAATGGCTGCACTATGCTTTCATTTTCCCCTCACTACAATACACGAAACTTGCAAAGTTGGAGTCAAATAAACACTTGCACATGATATTTAGGCGGCATATTTTTTTTTCTCCTAAACTTTGGTTCTGCCGCAATTATTCTTTGTTTTGATCGGCTGGCAGTATATTGAGAATGTATTTGTTTCTGTGAAAATTACTAATGTCGTCATCTTTGGACGGAAATTGTGGTGTGGAGGTTCTCGGCAGCAAATGCATCCCAACAAAAACTCACGTTAATGTCTGTGTGATGGATAAGAACGCAGAGCGCTGGAAGAATCTGAAAAAGAAAACGAAAAATTAATGTCACGATAAAACTCACCAAGTTGTCATTAGCACTGACAAAAAGGGGCAAAGAGTAACCACTTGTAGTTGAGATCACACTTTAGACATATTCCTTACAAACTTTGAAGTTGACAGGTTAAGGTAAAAAGTAATAACAAACGAAATTTGGTCAAAGCACACTCTCCGCTTCCATATTAGTGTGCTTGCTAACAGGTTCTTACGATACATTATTCACGCGACATTTATAAATATCCTGGAAGTGTGGTATTTTAAACTTATTGTGGACTGAGCCACCCTAACATTAAAGTGGAGCCTTAGCCACTTGGCAAAGTTTGGTCAAAGCACACACAATATGCCACTTGGCAAGACTAATTGCAACATGGACCGAGACATTTCTCAAGGTCACATACTTCAGGAGACTGCAGTGATTTTTTTTTACATTTAAACATTTTTATCAAAGGTCCCTACGGGATAAGAAAGTGTGCTTTTCTATGAATTGCTAATCACAAAAGGCAGCTTCGACTAAATATTCATTGGAGACTTAGATAACTAAATTGACTTTCCACAGCCACTTTTGGTGGCATGATTAAAACATGTTTTCATAGTGAAATTGAGTGAGATACCCATGCAACTTTCATTCTTGTTGGATTGTGCATAATAATCAGTAAAAGATGCATCAAATTATTCAAAATTGGTACAGGGTTTGTCTGCTTACATGAAGGTTAATATGTTTGTTAAGATGGCGATTACCAAATATCCTAACGTTGACAAGTTAGGTGAGGCATATGATGGATCTCACTGACCTTGGTCTGAGAGTTAAATAAACCTCTATCCAAAAATAATAGCATTTCTAATATTTACAGCTTAATATGAGTTGCATGAATTACTGATGCAAATTATAATGATGTTCTAGAAGGGCTAAGCTTGGCACAAATATAAGTGCGTCAATGCTTACAACGATATCCAACAGCCAAGTCCAAATGACATCAGATTTTAAAAGGAGATAAAACTCAATCGTCGATTTTGGACCCCTCCATAATTTGGGAGCAACATTTTTGTTTAAGAACATAGCAAAATTAAAGTGTCTCAAGAGGTGTTAAAGGGTATCAAACACCAACATGACATCCTAGGTATTCTGTAAAACATGTGATATTAAGACATGATAGAAACCTGGCAAAGATACTATTAGTTGCAAAATCCACACCGCGCTTTTCTCGGCTGTCCTATGAGTTTGAAGCGTCGTTAATGAGAACATATTTAAAGGCATGGTCAAGAGAACGAGTGATAGACACAACTTTATACGTGACTTTACCGAAAGAACCAAAGAATGCAGCATAACTATCCAATTGTTTCCTATAAGGCTGCTTAAGTAGCACTGTTTACATATACAGAAAGCACAATCGTTTCAGTAACACAGACTTTCAATTATTATTTTCTCAGTATGAATACTTTAAACTCGCGTTGGACAGCCTGGGGGACAAGTATCTACAAGCTAAGAGTTATGTATTTCTTGAGTTGCGTCTTTCTCTAAGTGGCCAACAAACACTCCATGATAGTTAAGTGGTCGACAACATAATCCACCTTTTAGGCGGTCAACTTGGCATCTAAGGTGGGCACGCACCTCCTGAATGGTTTCCATTGGTGGGGGCGGGTCCTTGTTGCGGCAGAGATTGACGATGACCCAGGTGACATTGCGCAGGAAGGTGATGGGGATGGCAGGGTTGATGAAGGCCAGAAGCGGCTTCACCACGCCCAGACTTATTACATAGTCCCTGCACTGCGGCCCGTCTCCTGCAGCAGCGACAAAGAATCTCATTCAGCGCCAACATATTGATCACACGGTGGATATTGTACCCATTTATTGCTTCCGTGGGAGTCTGGCAATGTTGAGGTTAGCCAGGTCTGTTAAGATAACAATATCTTGGTTATGTATATTTGCCCAGCTTTGCAATTCAAAGGTATGGAACACGCTTCTAATGTTGATCTGAACATGTTTTTCAAGTCCTTTAGGGTTTCTCCAAATATTGCTTGCAGCAGTCTTTTTTATTATAAGCAGAGGGGGCAAGGGTTTAATTGCAATGTTACCAGATAGCAAAAGGTAAAAAACGATTAAACAGTGGGACAACTGGTATTTTGCGTGTTGTTTTTTTAATTATATGTTGTTCTGGAATATGTATGAATATTAAATAATTGCAACCGACCTTCGATACAGAGCAAAATTATTATTTAATAAAGCAAAGAGAATATTGCTCCAATGGTCCTCGGTTGGAGTAATAATTAGGTGGTGTGTACAACAGACTCGTAGTTGAATCAAATGTTTGTGATAATACCACGTCTGGCTTTGCAGTCCAAGAGGGAACCATAGCAGAATAGGCTTCACTTAGTCCACAGCAGTGCAGCCTTATATTACTTATCGGTCATCAAAGTTTAAAAAGTTACACTTAAATGACATCCTCAGCCAACTGCAGATGAATGAGAAGTTTCTCCTTCTCCTCTGCTGCCGGAACGGTCTCCCTCTTTAGTCATCCACACAGCTGGCAAATGCATGCTCAAGACTGCACTCGTCCGTGCCTCCAGTTGGTGGCGGCTCCTTTTATAACGTCCCCTCAGCTACGATCACTGGCTAATGTGCATATCCCTAACTGCGCTGACCATTTGAGATGTGCGCACATACAGAAGCTCTAGAAACCACTACTATATTGGTTTGCTTTTAATAATTTTTCTATTCAAGGACAGACAAAATGCCACCACTTTCTAAACCCCAGCACCGAGTACCAGAGTGAAGGACGCACTCAGCAGATGCGCACACGTATCCGGCAGAAGTCATTCAAATTAGCAAAGGCACGCGCAACCTCTGTCAACAAGCAACATCAAACAGATATGTGGAGTTGTGGCGAATACACCAAGGAAAGCTTCAGTGGGAGCTCCGAGGAGATTCTTTTTGAAGGCCTACACACGAATGTCTGAAATGTTACACTGCTGTTTATTTCTGGGTGAGGTGGAGGGGGAGGGGTGGCTACTGAGAACAGAAAAAGAGACGGCGATGTTAAGAATAGCACAGGCAAACTCCTAAGCGTTTGCGAGGGGTTATTAATAATGCGACGGATTTAGTTGCCGCGTGATTCTACACTCGCAGTTAGGATATGCAGGGGGCAACATTTATGCCAAAACACTGCTTCGGGAATGCCTTGATTTTCATATCGACTTACAGAGAAACTACATTCAATATTACGTAACGTTCACGAACACCAACCCTAAAAACGTCGTGCCAGGTGTGTGTGGCCCACGCTCGGCGGTGGATCGGTCTTCATCGCGTGGGCTAAACCTCTCAACCTGCCGGGCTCCGTGACGTGGCAAGTGCATTGCAAGCACAAGTGGGTTGCTGACAACATAATTGAATTTAAAACCATTTGCCAATGCACTGCTGGATGAAGACCTTTGCACAGAATGTCAGTTAAGGGAGTTGTTTCATCACACTTCACCACGCTGGTTAGTGAAGACTAGTAAAGGTGGGTGGGGTGGGGGGGAAGGACCCAGGACAGCTTCAGATACCACGTGCCAGTGATGTTAGACATGGCCAGGAACTGAACTCGGGTCGCCATGCTCCTAGCTCAGCAAGTTAACCACTGCATTACCACTCAACCCCGCTGACTATATAGATCTTGAATGTTATCTTCACACGCGCTCATGGGTTTTCTCCAGGTACACTTGTGTCCCGTGAATTGCAAAACTCAACAGTTGGACCCGACTTTTGTAAACGATTATCATGGAATACAATTGTTTGTTCAATTCAAGCAAAGCGTTAAAATAAATTACCCTAGCAGCTTTAGGAATGAGTTAATCATTTAAAAAAATAACAGAAAAATATCTGCGATGTCGCAACGAAAGTGAACCTTGACCGATTCATCCCATTTAACAGACATTTGTGTTACGGCGACACAAGCGGACAAAAGCTGACTTACCGATGATGTTTCCGAGGGCCCACACTGCCTGCTCGCAAACGTTCTGATGGGGCGAATGCAGCAGCTTCAGGAAGAGGGGAACAGCATCTGTAGGGAAACAAGCAGGTTTTACCAAGAGGCAGTGTTTACTGATGACAATGGCAAGGTATTTTTGACAGCTTATATCTGTACCCCTTGGCCAACACAGTGACTGACGGTTTGTTGTCAATTATGAGCGTTTGGCTGGCAATCGCTATGGCAGAGTGCTTAACTCATAATTGGCTTGCATCTCTCTAGATTCGATAAAACTATAACTACTTCGTGCAAAGTAAAGATGAGTTGTCCTATGGAGGGAATAGATACACTACCAAAGGAAAGTGAAATAATCACGAACATTTCAGATTCACCAATCAACACAAGCACCACCCAATCAATGCTGGTTTGAGCAGATACGCTTTAACTTGGCTTCGAGCAAGTCGACCAATTTGTCAAAGTATGAAAAACAGTCAACACAGCCCAGATGCCATGAGTGTCACTCACTGGACTTGACAACGGCTTGCGTTTGCGCCGACGTTCCTGACGCGATGTTGGTCAACGCCCAGGCCGCCTCGAACTGCAGTGACGGACTACAGTCAAACCAACACACATACACACAAGTAAACATGACACATTCACAAAGGATGCCGCTCTTATGCAGCACTCCGTGTTTGCATGCCGCTTATTCTCCATCCACTGTGAACCAACATTTGACATCCCCTGGTATTTTAACAATTTATTTTTTATATAAAGCTGGATAGTGGATATACCTGAACAGTGCAAAGCGTGGAGAGGTGCATGCTTGGATTTACACCGTGAGAACTCGAAGGAGAACAAACAGCTTCAGGAGCATAGGCAAGTTAAAGACATTAGCTGTGAAGACAACGCGCTTGGACAGGACGTGTCGCTGGTCAGGACGATGGCTGGTGACAGAGGAGGCCAACGGAGGGGGAACATTCCCTAGAGGATGTCCATCAGAGTCGAGTGAGGAAATTGGCTCATGTGCAAGACTAGATGGATAGTTGCATCGAGAGTGAGAGGTTTTCATAGAGCAGTAAATGGATCATGGCTGCTGCTGATGAAACAAGAGGTGCAATATTTACATGTACTATTACATGTCATTACTTCTATTTCAGACTTTTTTATCCAAAACTATTATTGGCTCGTTTTATATTCAATGCAATGCTGCTGTGCTCTAACAGCAGCCACGGATAAATTAAAGATGATAAAATTAGTTTAGTGCAAATGTTGCAAGTAAAGCTCACTGAAAAAACTACTTTTCATCCAAGACAGTTGTAATGATGGCAGTAAAAAAAAATTCATAAAGTATGTTATAATTCATAACTTTTATGATATAAAACCAATTGCATGAATCTGGTTTTAAATCAACAGTTTGGCACCAAATCGGTCTCTTTCCATCTATCAAACAAGGGCATACTGCCATCAATAACAAGCCCTACCATGTTAAAATGTACAGTACATGATCATAATTAATTCACTGTTTAATGAAGGCCTCTCCAATCTGTCACAATATCTCAATCCTTCATAACAGGTTTTTTTGGTTAAATCGCGTAAATATAAATGTGTCCTTAAACCCACCACCACCCGACACACGCAGTTAGTAAGGTTTGTCACGTAAACAGAACGTGCCAATCCGTTACTAGTACAGCACTCCGGTGTGTTGGAGAGCAAATCCACAACATTTACAATCCGAATGACATTTCACCAGTAATTACAACTAGCTTCATCAGGTGACAGCCAGATTTGTGGTCACGAAAGCCTACGTCAAACTGATCTCAATCCTCGTTATGCAACAATCCATCCAGCGACAGCACGAGCTGATTTAATCGTTCCATCTGCAAGATAGACTCGCGCTTGGGTGTGTTCCTTCCTTTGGCTGCCACTCCGTTAAATCTCAAACACCGGCCATCAAACCTTCTAGCAATCTGTCCTGCCCAAGCACCCTGACTTTTCTTGACAGGCAATGAGGTCTCTAACTTTCCGTATGTGATTTAGTGCACGTTTTCCTCTAGCGTTCTCAAACATGCTTCTTTTAGCTTTTGTTACAATTTTTTTTACAGATTCTGATTTGACTATGCAGGAAACCATCCTTACTGAGCGATGTAGTAAATTCAGTGGGAGCCAACTAAGGTGTGTGCATGTGCCACTGGTGACCAGATACTCACTTATCCTCTCGCTCAAGACACTGCACGAGAATGGGAAGGATCCCAGAATTGATGAGGTCGTCAATAGGGGGGTTCCGATCGCTGGAGAGCAGCTTCCTGCAAGAATTAAATACCATCACGAATATCGTACATAACAGCTTGTTAATACAGGCATGTACGCGAGCCTAGCCCTCGGTGCGTATCCCATACTGTGTGCAAGCATTTGGTAGACAATGTCAGCTTGGGTGTACTTCATTACAGCCAGCTTTGTGCCGTGCCAACCGTACCAAGTGTTCACTCACAGCCAGGGGAGTGAAAATGTATCTATTAATATCAATTCTTAAGCACATTATATATGCGAATAAAATCCATGCATATGTAAAAATATGTATTTTTAAATGTATGTTGCACATAATATTATCATGTGACCCCTACAACCATGAGAGCACCTGCAACATTCACCACAAAATTACATGGACAAAATAGTTATTAGATATCATTCTTAGCCTGAATTTTGAGGGGGGGGGGCAATTGTTACACCCATACTAAGTGCTGGCTGCAAGACTGAACAGTGATCCGTGTGTGTGCATGTGCACGCTTTTACGCCTATGAAACGGAGCAAACACATTGGCAAACTTCATTAATGGAACCAATATGATCATCAGAAGATAACATGGCAAAACCAGTTGAACTACACTTGAACTTCAGGCAAGTCAAATGTTTGTATGAGAATCCATGGAGGTAACCAACTTTCCAAAGCTTACAACCATGCTCTTTACATTCATTATACAATTTTAATTAAAATACAATTTCATACATTTTTGGCATTCAGTGGTTTAACAAATATTTAACAATTTTGTTCATATTTCAGCTGACTTACCCATTATAGGACAGGCATCTAACGAGTGAAATGTAAAACAGAAATTACATCATCGTTTCTTTTCTTTGGAAACTAAATCCCCATCGTTCATTCCAAGGTCACTTTTTTATGAAAGGTACTATCGTAAGTACATTTTAAAGGATTAAATAATATTGGCATGACTTCTATTTGTCAGTCTGTAACAGTGGCTGTAACGTTATTGTGTTTATTGTATAAAGTTAACTCTAACACATCGAACAAAAATGATTTCATATCCATAAAAACTAAAATTCTGACTACACAGGAAACAGCTGATAAAATATACACTTATAAATAAACATAATGCTTGAGATAGACCTCACATGTTAAATTTCAGTTTTTCCCCACAGAAGACAACCCCGGTTTTGGCAATACTATTTAATCTCCCATGCTGCTTCAACAGCCATTTATTTCCTACGACCCAAGCAGCTGCAGGAAAACACCCAGCGAAACAACGGATTTATTTCACCAAACAATGTTGGGAGAGGCTCTATTTGGCAGAGGTGTTTCATTGTGTGTGCAAGTTTGTCAATCTCACCGTGCAGCCTGAACAGCGCTGAGCTGCACATTTGGGTTGTCGCTGGCTGCATTCTGCACACCAAGGCAACAAGATCAACAGTTAGAATCACGACCATCTAAGAAACAAGCCGCAAAACGCAAGTGCTGAAGCCTGGGGTTGCGTTCAAAGGTCCGTGTCAGCAATCAGGCGCAAGGAATTTTCACCGTTTTGCTGTATCCACCACACTCTTTGTGAATTACATTTAGAACAGATCATAGGTCAATCGTTTGCATTACTAATTACAACTAACATCATGCTAGTTGTAATTACTAGCATCATGATGCGAGTTGTAATAATTGGAAAAACATCGTACTCGAATTGTAAATGTTGTGGGTTTACTCTCCAACACACCGGTGTGCTGTACCCGTAACAAATTGGCATGTTTTGTTTATGTGACAAATCTTACTAATTGGCTGTGTCGGGTGGTGGCAGGTTTAAATTACACATTTACATTTACGCAATCTAACCCTAAAAACATCTATTATGGATAGCATTGGTCGTGAAAGCCCTACGTGTTAAAAACACTAAACCCCAAATAAGCCCAAGTTAAAGTCACAATTAAGCTCTCTTGCATTATGTTAAGCAGCAATGCAGACCAATCCGATTAAAGCTTTCTTAAGGGAGAGCCAAGTGTTGGGCAAAAATATTTAAAAAAATTGAGCCCTATAAACCACATTAATGTAAAATGCAATTTCTCATGTTGTGAAAATATATATTCAATATGAATTGTGCAGCTATTTGGAAGGGTTGATGGTTTAGACCATGATCATGAGAAACTCCCTTTACCACCCCCCCCCCCCCCCATTATACAGGGATAGGTGCGCATATGATGACCATGACAGAAAGGAGGTTGCTAAACCTATTAATGCAAGCTGAGAAGCGTTCACGAGTATGCATGAGTTTTTCAACCACACTCTGGGTCCTTCCCAACCACGCTCAGAAAATAATAAAAAACAGACATACTAATCATGCAAAGTAAGGCCTTTCTGAAAAGAAGCGTCTAATAGCAGCTTTCCTGGGTATGTGCATTCATAACTTTATTATTACTGCTCCAAAACTGCCACGTAGCTAATCATTGTCTACACACTGCTGGCTTTACGATTCATCAGCTCTTGGCCAAAAGTCAAACAGATTTTTGGTGCAACAATCAGAAGGAACTTTGTTCACTCACCTGCACGATGGCTTCCAACGATGCATTTTGCTGCAGGGAACAGATACGAACGAGGGCGACAACACATGGTTAGACAAGGATACGCAATGCACATGTTAAGCACACAAATATATACACCACAGAACTTGGATTTATAAAGTTACTAAACGCAACTGCATCTCACAACGATGTAAAAAGCAATGGGCATATTTTATAGTGAGAGGTGGTCAGTCATAGGCAAAGTAAAAAACTTAAATCTTGTCTGGATGTGAACAGGGAGTCAAGAGCACCAATGGTAGGGGGGGGGAGTTTCAGACGATAGGGCCAACAGAGAATAAGTGACCTCCCGCTGAACAGCTGACTCGGGGCTTCAACAGAAAGCCTTGGCTGCCTGAGTCGGGAGTGAGTGGGGGGCGGGAGTAGAGTGAGATCAGAGGGGGCAGGTAGACAGGCGTGAGTCCAGTGGACTCATAATTTTAACTCTGATCGACACATTGGCTAAGTCATAATCTAAAATCCTCCATTTAGGAGTGTGGACTGTGGGGGGAAGTGATGCAAGCATGCACACCTAATTAAGGCTGGCATGACCACACAAGGGCGAGTGACAACCCATGCCCAGTTGCTATCTTTGTCTCACCAGTGGTTATGTTCACACGTGACACCAGGTACGACTCGGCAAAGGCTGAGTCAACTTTTCAGGAGTCCGAAAATAAAGTCAGCTACCCATGTGCATGGAAATGGAACCCAGGCTGCTGGGATGATAATGCACTCCCCACCATCACAACAAGTAATATGTAACGTTTCACGGCCCTTGTATAAATATGATTACAATTTCGGGTGGCAATTCGTTTCATTTCTCATACTTCTAGGGATAATTGTTATCTCCATTAGCCTACATCTAACATTATTAACCTATTGGACACAAAAATTCAAGAAAATATTTTAACCAACAAAACAATGTATAATGAAACAAAACCCCCACCATATCGGCGTTAGATGTGCGTGGCCGTCTGGCACACTTCACACGTGACCCACGCAGCCCTACCAGCCGGAAGTCGCCATCAAAGTCGAGCTCATCAAGGATCTCCTCGTGCGGGACGTTTCTTCTCTTCAGGAGGTGCTCGTCCCGTTTGTTCTGTGGGGCAGGAGGTGGGAGTTGGAGAGGCAGCAGCACGGGGTAGTAGGCCACCATTGAGATTTGCCGCAATCCAATGTCTTATCCGAATGATTTCCCGTGTGCTCTTCGATTAACAAGCACGGATTTCTAACGTAATTATAGTATAACAATTAGAGACAGCTCGCTGACAAAGTTGTTCTCTTGATAGGCACACATTGAATAAAATCTGCTGACTTGGCTCACCATTCCTCAGGATGAGCACCAGTGTGAAACTGCACCGTGCCATAGGAGTGTGGAATTTCCATCACTCGTGTAGGAATTAAAATCGAGAAACTACCGCACAAACACATGCTTATAGATAGAGGGCTTGATACATGTGGTGATAAAAAAAACATTGGTCTCCACCAATTTTAAAGAGATAACAGCCAATAAAGAATTCCACCAAATATCAGTGAGCACCACCTTGTGTCCACAACACACATGAGAATAGAAATGGTATTGTTTTGCACGTGAGATTCCGGTTTATGGGTAATTAAAACTTCTTTTTTAAGAACAAAGTAAGCTCATTGATATACAATCTTAGCGAGTTGACATACTAATCCAAGACATAATTCCAACACTAATCTTGGACCTGCAGCGAACTAAAGGGCACTCACAAGAATCTCTGCTTGATGTTCATTCGAATTAAACTAATCTCACATGCTGCTGCTGCAGCTTAAAACGATTACAAGTTTGAAAAAATAAAAACACCTGTGGCTTGACACCACTAAATTTCTACATGCATTACAGTATATGTAATCACTTTTGACATTATCCTCATCGGTGTGATGGTGCAGCGAGAACATCACTCCGCTTTGTAAACGGCGACGAGGCACGAGTGGGAACATGCTGGTGACAGCCATGAGTGGATGATGGCGACGGTGACACCACCCTAGGGGTGCCTCACCGAGCCATGGGCAGGTTGACACGTGTAGCCGGTGGAAGAAGAACGTAACCGTGTTTATAAAAAAAATGAGCCGTGTTCACAATTAACACTACTCTGATATAACAGATCAGGAAATCACCTTCCCCCCCCCAACCCCCCCCCCCCCCCCGAGGAGAGATGAAGCAGAATTGACCAACTTAAGACTGGGTTCACGTAGCATTTCAGAGTCATTATTGTAATACCAAGAGTTCAATGGATTAAACATTTCACTCAATCCCAAATTATGACGTCAAGGCCTCTCCTCCTCCCCCAAACAAGAATCCTATGACCTGAGGATTACACGAATAACAACCCAAGAACTGTCTTTTTACTTGCGTCCTTGAAGTCAGGTGTGGAGCCACACCCATGGAAATGCCCTAAATTGTACTATTATTTTCTTGTTGCCTTCCACGAGTGATATTTTAATGGCAACTGATCAAAACTTAAGTCCCTGGCTCTGCCCCAAGCATAATTCTGATTGGCTGCCACTGAGCCGATTCATAATGTTTACTATTGCAAACTGTAAGCCTGTTAATCACACACCGACATCACTTACACAATGCTTAAGGAGTTGTATTTAGTTACATGCTGTTGGTAACCACGTGTGGCCCCACCTTAAAATCTGAGATTGTACTTTACACTGGTTCACTACATTATAAAAAATATATTTATATATGAAGAGTTTGAAATTGACATTGAACAATTTCCTGGTGCAATTATTACACGGGTAAACGGTGTTATAGTCCAACAGACTGCACATTGTGACTAACACATTAACGCATATTTCTAAAACCTTAAAAAAATGTGCAGGGTGGCAAGCATGTGAAACTCATTCCATTATTTTGACTTCCCATCACGTGCCTCAGTGCGAGTGTGACACAATTACATTACAAACAAATGTGCTGTTGTCACTGATGGGGATATTGAAGCTCATCATTTTACCATCCGTATCCTTGAGAACTGAAAAACCTGGCCCTCTATTGCCAGTGACAGTTAAAGCCCTCGCACAGAAAGGTGAATGGGGCCGCACGGTGTTAATCTTCCCTAACGAACCACACAGTAAGACTAATAAAATATACATTATGGCACTAAAGCTCTTAGATTTGGCATCTGACCTAATGCAGAAAAGCGGGATTCCCAGTGGTCATGCAAGCACAGTTCTAAAATATTAATTATAACCAAACTCAAGACACGGACACTTCCGGAGCAAACATTGTCATTAATAAGCATCAGCAATACACAGTTCTCAGAACTCAAGTAGTTATGGTTCACTGACATTTCGAATAGTCTACAAATTGGCCGATTTTAGGATAAACGACAATGCTTTTAAGCAAAACAAATTTCTCAGTCATAAAAGTACATAAAGATACTTGCATTTCTATTGACAACCTTCTCGAAACAAAGGGGTAGTAGTAGTGTGTCAACAGATACTACGCACAGTGAATTTGAGAATGCTCATTTGCGAATTAAAGATGACAATCAGCCCTTATGAATGATTAAGGCCCAACAACCTCACAATTTCTACGCAGTGGGCGTGACAACGAAGATTTATGCGTCAACCGCAGATGAAAATCGCGTTACCTTTCGCAGCTCGATGGTGACCTCGTTTCTCTGCCTCCGCATCGTCTGCAAAAGAAAAACACGCAACAAGATGATCGGTGGAGCCACGAACGAAAACGCATCTGTACAAAGCGGGGATGACCGACGCGGCTTTACCATGTAAATGTTTGTGTTGTTTGTGCTCTGCTTGTTATCCCAAGCACATGTTTATTGAGTGGTTATCACAGAAACGCTTTGATCAGCGAATACTGAAAGGCATTATGCTCTGCACAGCCCTCCACACGAATCAAGTGAAACTGACCAGCGTACGAAATTCTGAAATGCCACTCAGCACATTACGATGATGTGAATCATGGCCCACTCACACCCATGATTCTAACATGGTATTTCCATACAGTATTTCTGTAATCGAGTTCACAGCTCCGCTGGATCCACATAATTCGTTAACTGATCAACATGTGACTTTACGTCAAAAACAATGCTCTGACCGACAATACGAAAAATCAACATTCCACACAAAACAGAGTATGACTCAGCTAAAGCAGAATGAACCAAACCGGTTCCCAACTGGTCAAATCTGATAAGCAGGTCAACAGCAATAAGTTTATAAACCCCGCAGACAATAACAATCAGCAAATGTGTAAACACATTATTGGAATTGCACAAATTCATTGGCTACATATGAAATGGTAACAGGGGGAAGCTGCATTTTTGTGCAAGACTGATAAAACACCACATTCACTTCATCACACTTGAAATCATTTACACTGCCACCTCATTCGGATTAAACGAAAATACGGATTAGCAAGGAGGTTATATACTTGCAATCAAAGCCATTAATCCAATTAATCAAATGCATTCATCCTGGCGCTTATGCCGTGCGGAAAGATATTGGGCGAGAGAGTCAGGTGAAGTACGGCATTTGGGTTGTTGTCGTCTCTACAGAAACCTGCTCGAGGTAATAAACCAACAGCGAATGTTTCCATGTCACGCAAGCACATGGCTCACGACATGCGAGCGGCAAATGAGTGGCATTCATTCACTCATTCGGGAAAAGCAACACCGATTTAAATAAAACTTTATCAAACAGCGAAGTCCCGAGTAAAGTAAAATATAAATGTCCTTTATCAGAACCCTCACCCCTTAATTGGATGTTCCATCACCAGGTTTTGCCAAACACTGGTACCGAAGCTAAATACATTTAACGTGTTTGCATTCATGTAACCAAAAAGTGTTTGCATCACTACAAGTCCGTTGCGTCTTTACGCTGCTCCCATTTACCCCGTTTCACGAGACCGTCGCCAATCAATGACTTTGGAACGTAACTCGATTGAAAATGAATGTATTCACTCCAACGTTGTTTTGAAAATGTTAAAATAAAAGCTGCAGGTTGGGGCAGCGTACTTGAGGGAGCAGCACGCCTCCTAGCGGACACTCACGCCTCGGTGTTGACAGCATCGCCACACTGTACGCACTTTTAAATCTAAATTGAAAACGCATTTTATAAAACCGTTTATCGTGCGTTTAGTTTTCTGTCATTCCCCCCGCACCTTCGATTAGCACGGCTGGCCACGTACGATGCGAAACAAGTCCAACATACACACAGTACTACTTTCTCTAAATGCAATCTCTGCCGCCACCTGTTTATATTATTTTTTATGAAGCAATTTGAAATTGTTACGCAACATCTTTTTGGATACATTTAAAACTTCACGTTTTCCAGGGACGCATCCCAACATAAATAGAAAGACTAACAGTACACTACTGACCTTTTATATTCCGCACACTCATTGTTTATACACACAAAATGCATGCTCATTTAAATAGAGTATTTTCACTTCCTTGTCTTGAACGTACAAGTTTGCTAACGAACACATTTATGAGATCTGCATGGGCAGCAGAGTAGCAACCAATTCGTTCTCCCCCCCACCCACATCCGATGAGCATGGTTGGCTAACGTACGGTGCGAAAGAAGTTCACACAGCCAACGAATGCGCCTAACACCCAAGACAACATGGTGTGAGCGCGTCGTTAATGATTTATTCTTGTTCACAATTGCAGTGTAAGCAGAGGGGCATGACAATGCCAGCGTTTGTTGGCACTTGTTACCATCTTGAGTGGCGCCAATTATAACAGCAGCCCCATTACAATTGGGGTTCAATTTTGAATGGGAATTGGTTTGTTATTCATGTCGACTGTATTCGGCAACGTTGTATTTTTACGGTTTATTTAGCGAAATAAGTTGAACTACCTTGTTTTTTTATTGGACTTGTTTTTTTACGTATTCAAATATTATACCTTGAAAACTGTTCATGGGGCTGCGGAAGGTTTAAGCATGGAAACTTTCAACGACAAGTAATTACGTAAATTTCCTTTAAAGTAATGCTCGGCCTTAGTATTTCAACAAACTCGTTGAGTCACCTACTCCAAAAATACTGAGTGTCTAAAATTAACATGAGATGGGAAGGGAGCCTCTGGTTCAAAGCCGTTTTCTTGATTTCATTACGAATAAACAAACTTCAGAGACCTCCTGCTAAATATCAGGTCTGTCGCTCAAATAATCTCCTTCATAAAATAATCATCAGTGCGAAGACAGAATGATTTATTGTTGGTTATGTTCAATATGTTATGACTGTTGTCACGAAAGGGTTATTGGAGTTAACGTATAGAGGGAGGCATCCCCACAAACATATGTAAAACTACTAAAGTGTGCAGACAATAAATATGTCAAAGTGAATATGCATGGGGAGGGTGAGTGGATACAGGTTTGGCATTATGAATCATGTGCAAGTGAGAAGGGAACACGGACGGGCCTTTAATCTGGATTTAAATGGCAGGACAGAAGACCAAATAGGCACCAAAGTTTTTCCCCCCTACATCATAGCTTCAAGACATTGACCCCATCTCCCTTATGAACATTATTTATTTTGGCTCCTTACTGCAGCTCGTTTGTCGCTTCCAGATCCTTATTTGATCAGGAAATGGAACTAACTTATATTGCTCAATACCAGGGTGCCACTTTTGTGAGGAGGGTTTGGGTTCATTGAATCTGACCTCAATCCTCTTCATGAGATAGCCTGCGACGAGGCGTCAATGTGAATATACTTTAAGTGAAAGCGGGTTAGGGCTATCCCTATGTTTGCCTATAGATGGGAATGTGCATACGAAAGACCCACGTTTCTCACCAGAATATGGCTCTTAAGGCAGCTGTATCCTGAACCGGAAACAGTAGTTAAGTGAATTACGTTTAGGTCTAAAGTTAGCTTTAACAATAACCCACTAATCTACTCATTTAAGGACCTGGAAGCGACAACATATGTAATATTTAGGATGTAGATAGGCATAAACGTGACGGAATTATAATACTGTATTGGGTTAAGGGTTGTAACTCGCCTTGACCGTGACACTAATGCATGTGTTCTGTCCAGTTGTGTGGCTTTGGCTACCCATGAGTCATTACTATGAGGTAATAGGTTGGCATTTTGGCGATCCTAAATATGAAATACTGTATTCAGATGCGTAGATTAGTGGGTTATGGTTAAAGCTAGCTTTAGCCCTAAAACGTAATTCACTAAAAACAATTGCCTTAATAAGAGCCATATTCCAGTGAGAAACGTGGGACTTTGTATGACCATTCCCAACGATTTAATTTAACTACCAAATTGGATTAGTCTCAACCGACTCTAGAATCATGACTAAACTTGATTATGTTGTGGTATGTTTCCTTACTCTTTGGTTCTTTCGGTAAACTCACGTAGGTGAGAAAAAAACCATAGCTATACAAGTGAAAATATGATCGGGCTTATCCAAACTACTGAACATTTATGGAAATTACTATACATGGCTAAGGTTTTAGCTTGCCTTAATCGTATTCGAATGACAGCATTGTGTATGTTATAGGTACGACCAGTTACAACTATATCCTGGGTCAGAGAAATAACAACCCACATCATTAACATATTGCAATGACCGGCTTGAGCGTGTTAGATATGACCAGCCCTAAACCTACTCATAAAAAATTGTATAGCCTCGGCCATAATTACATTTTAAGGAAAGCTCGAGCTAGGTTTATATATATTATTACCACCACCAACTCTAAATTTAATCCTTTGATAAACTAGTTTAAGGTCAGCAGCGCAGCTATCCTTAAGCATACCGATATTCACATAACAGGCTTTAAATGTGTTTAATACATGTCCAGCTCTAAATAAAAACTATTTATACATCTGTAGTTTTAGATTGGTAGCCGTGTATTGCGATTCTTAACACCAACCATTCCCCAATGTGCAATCACCGGGCTGGGCTCGTGACTAATTCGCCTGAACCCCAGCCTCATGCAAAAACAAGGCGATACAAGGGTAAGCGTGAACGAAAAATAAAAGGCTACCACAACTGTTCACAATTAGTCTTACCAATACAATCGCCGTTATACACACACACATATATATACATATAAAGATGTTTATTTCGCGAGCGAAGAAATGGCCCGGAAACGCCTCCCTCAGCCCGGCGGCCCCCATCGTGAAAAAACCTCGGAGCACGCCGGCACCCAGCCCACTAAAGACGCCGATAAACACCACCAGCACGCAAACATCCGCACGGCCACCGCCAACAGACGATTGTCGCCGTTAAAGCTACCAAAAAATGGTTTAATCAACGAGTTTTTCGAGCGCCACGGGCTTCGGTAAAAGTGTGCGCAGCAGTCGCAGTCAAGGAGAGGCGCCTCCTCCTCCTCCTCGGCTTTGCCTGACGCCTCGCCCGGCCCGGCAGCCGGCCCGGCACGGGGGGTCCCACAGCCACCCCTCGCCCGAGAACCCCGCGGCAAATGAAACGCCACACGAGCCGCACACGAGCCGCACACGAGGCACAGCTCACAAGAGCGGCGCTTGATGGCAAGTCGAGGCGTTGAAATGTAATCGACGGAGGCGGTGGCGGCTGTGACGAAGCCTTATTAATGCGAGGGCGTAGGCCGCAGGCTTCAGAAGGCCGGGGTTTTATTTCTCCAACGCAATTCCAACTAGAAGATGTACATTGACACAACGATTATAAATAGTGACAATCGGGTGTTAAATATTCACGGGAGGCTCACCTCGGCATCGCGACCTTTGTTTTTAAAGCTCTTGATGCGGTGGTTCTCAGCCAGCTTGTCGCTGTCCGCCATGTCGCTCTCGCAGCGGCGCTAACGTAGCCGAATATAAATAATATAACCGCGCGCGACGGCGAACGAGGAGCCTTCACAAATAAATTAAAAATACTGCCGAGCCTTATTAAATTCAGAAAAAAACACCAGCCGATAGCGTCAAAGACGAGAAAAACGACTGCGTCGTCGCAACCCGAGAAATCTAAGTTCTAATAAAAATACAAATTACGAACAAGCACGACTCTTTATCGCCCTCTCGGACAAAAGCGGCCCCAGGCTGCCTCGCTCTGCGCGCAAAATGCCGGGATTACATTTCCCACTGCGCATACGCAAGCCCCTCCCCCTGGAGCCCCCCCATGCCCCCCCCCCGAGCCCCCCCCACTTCCACACAAGCCCCACCTCCGCGAGCCCCTCCCCCTGCACCCCCCCCCCAACCCCGCCGCACTCGCACCATGTGACCGCTGTTGCCTTGCCTACCGTTGGCCGGTGCCGGGGCGACACGTGACCGCGACTCCCCAGCGCGGCACTCCGATCCGGTCTATGAAATACATTGGCTGCTTTGGTCGAGGGGCCGGGGGTTCCACGGGGGGGGGGGGGGGGGATTAAGCGAGGGGCGGGGCGGGGGTTGTGGGGGGGGGAGGGGCCGCCTCGCTTTGGATGCCGCAGGGGTGACGTCATAAGGGAGGAGGGGGAGGGAACTCGGGCGGGTGACGTCACCCGCTAGGATTCTTCGGGTCACGCTTGAGGGCTTATTGAGAAACGCAGCCGTGAGATGTCCAGGCTGGTTGGAGGCCATGCACAGGCGTTTCATGCAGTGGGAACGGTAAAATGAAACAGTTTTCCAAAACCCTCAGGCTTCAATAAGAAAACGCTGTAAAAAATATTAAAAAAAAATATTTTAAAAAATATTTTAAAAAAACTTTTAAAAATATTTTTAAAATATTTTTCAAAAACTTGTTAAAATATGGCACTAAAGTAGTTCCAATGACCTTGCGTGCAGAAAGTCGCACAAATGCGAATGAAAACAGGAGTCGGGGCAAGAAAATAACTGAGCTTTCTCTCACCAAGCCAATTCACAGGAACATTTGAAGACAAAACATTGGATTGGAGAGATCAAGGCATGAACACAAATAATTTCATGAGCTGACAACGGGTTATAATAGCAAGCGATGGAGAGATTTGAACAACTTTCTGCATTCAAAACAACGGTTAAGGATAACAAGTTGCAGAGCGAAAAACTAATCGTTGGAGAGTCACAACTGGAAAACAGCAAGCGAGTTACATGTATGGTAATTATTGTAGGCGGCACATGATTGCATTGATACACAGGTGAGCAAGAGGAGGTTAGAGTGATGGTGAATAATGAAAAACAGCATCCCAATGAGCCTGCAGAAGTTCCCAATCACTTCAGCTGATTTACCTGCTGTCGTCAAAGTGATTTCCTGCTTAAACGAGCCTTGAAGTGGTCCTCATTTATCTACAGCCCTGAGCCAGTGCTCCACATTCCCATGGCGGTGGCGCGTCTATCCACAGAATAAACTACTGGGTTTGAAGCTTTCGTGACTGCAAGGATTCATACTCTTAGGTTTTTCGGTAAAGTCACGTAGGTAGAAAATAAAATTAAAATTAATAAAATTAATAACATAAATATAATGAAATAATAAAATAATAATAAATCACGACGTTTCGGAGGCAGCACAAGTCTCCGTCATCAGGTGGGACCGTCACAGATAGATTTGCTGTATCAAGTAACGCAAAGATTCCGAGATACAAGTTCTTAAATACAAGTTAAGGGGGAGGAGGGGGGGGAGCTTATTTATTTTATTTTTTACCTACGTGACTTTACGGAAAAAACCTAAGAGGAATAAACTACTGGTTGATTCTTCCAGACTATCAAGGGGCCGTCCATAAATGACGTCACGCACCTAAAGGGGGGGGGGGGTCAGACATTTGTGACGATGTGTGACGAGGGGGGGGGTTGATAAATGTGACGTCACATCAAAATGCGCAACTCTAAATAAATATAGACAACACGTAACTAAATAGACGTTTTAATACATGTTTTCTCCTACAACATCAGAGTGCAGCGCCACATTAAATACGCACTACAAAGACAATAGTTTAAAGCGATTTGAAGCATGTTTTTTTTAGGGGGTGGGAGCAGAGCTTTGTGACGTCATATTTGAGGGGGTGTCTGACTTTTTGTGACGCTGTGTGACGACGGGGGGGGGGGGGGTCAAAAATCGTCCAAAATCGCGTGACGTCATTTATGGACGGCCCCCAATCCCAGTGAGGTGACTGGCTGATTTAACTCCCACGCAGGATGACAACTCGCAACCTTCTCATTGGGAGCCCCTTGTGGTGCCACAGCCGCGGAGCGACACCCCCCTGTCCCCCACACACAGCGCACACTGACACACAGCGCACACTGACACACACACTGACACATACTGACACACACAACTGACACACACACTGACACACACTGAGCATATAAGGAAGACTCGGGGCTGTTGCAGTGGGGTCTCCGCCTGTCCAAGTCTGAGCACGTGGCCTCTGAATAAAGAAACCATCTCAAGACAAGTGTGTCCAAGTCATCATTACACATGTATTGAAATGAACAAGGATGTAACAGCTTGGGAACAGAGATGATGGAAGGGAATTCCAAAGTCGTACAGTGCGAGGGAAGAAGCAGAGAGGGGTACAGTACTGTACTGCGAGCTGTACTGTGGTAGTTGAACACAACAGTACTATTGAGGCTAAACAGTCAGTCTGGTTGACCGAGTCCTCAAATGGGTAGAAAGAATCTAAACCTACCTACCTACCTACACACACTCTCACTCACCTGTCAACACATAGGATTTCGCGACCAATATAATCCATAATATAAGGGTTTTTTGGGGTTAAATCGTGTAAATATAAATGTGTCGTTAAACCCGCCACCACCCGACACAGCCACTTCTTAAGGTTTGCCACGTAAAGAAAACATGCCAATTCGTTACTAGTACAGCACACCGGTGTGTTAAGAGAATAAATCCACAACATTTACCATCTGAGTACGACTCACACATCTACTTACCTATTCATACACTCACTCACTTAGCTACACACACACCTACCTGTTAGGGAGCACCTATGAAGGCCAAAATGGCACACAAGGGGGTGGGTGGCCAGCAGCACGCTCGACTGCCTTTGCCTTTGTCTCACTAGTGGCGATGTTTACACACCACGCCAGGTACTCATTTGAGGCTGAGTCGACTTAGGGGAGGCCCAGGACAGGTTCAAATAATTGTTACACTACCGCCCCCCACAAACTCACTCACTCACCTGCTTACATATGTAGTGACATGGAATGGGTCACTATGGAGCATAGCGTGGGTTGCTGGCAGGGAAAGGGATCTTCTGTTGCAGCAGCCCTGTCTGTCAGCAGGTCACGCCGGGAGGATAAAAGGGGACCCCGAGCGAAGGTTCGGGGCTGTTGTTTGGAGTGGAATCACATCGGGCTGCTGGAGTCTTCGTCACCATCTTCACCTTCTCGGCGTTGTCAGTCAAGCAGTCTGTTAGTTGTCTTGACTGAAGTGGAGTTACTCCTTGAACCCTGTGAAGGCTATACTAAATAGAGTGCCTCCTATTCCTAGTGTCTCTGAGTATATCACTACACATACACACTCACTCACTTACTACCTACTTACACACTCTCTCACCTACTGACAACACACTCACTTACCTACTTACAAAGACACACTAACTCACCTACTCACATACACACTCAGTCAACCACCTACACACACTCACTAACCTGCCTATGCTCTTGGCACAGGGTAAAGAGCAAGCTTTATAAAGTGGGCGTGCTTGATTGCAATCCCAATTGCTCAATAAAATTCTGCCGTGTTGTGAATTCGGGGCACAATAGGGCTTGTGTTGGCATCCGAAGGAGCAGCAGGAGCAAAATAATAATGAGCGCCATTCATGCAGCCACCTTTACAGAACTTGCTCTCGGACCATGGCCAATCCACTGCTGGATGAAGGTCGTCCCAAGACGTCGCATCTTCTTATGAATCCGCCATGCGACAATGCGCCTGGCACCTGCTCACGAACTTGTTTCATTGCACAGATCTGCACGGCGGATGTCCTCTCAGAGGCCATTAATTCATCGGCTGTCATTCTCTACGGATGTCCCCTAATCCGGCCACTTCACAAGCTGTACAACAATGTAACATTAATCTTGCGTAGATTCACTGATGTCTATTTCCCCATGTTTTGAGCAGTTTGTCCACAGTCTCTTTTCTCATGTCTGGCATTTTCACATATCTGTACTATCCATCAGTCCCCAGCAAATTGAATGTGACGTTGTACTGCGCAGTACCAAATGTGAGCCTCCTGCGGTTGTACTTTAACAGTAACGTGGATTCGTTTTCTCATTAAACCCTTCATGCGCATTAAGTGTGACCCATGCTCATTTGAGGCAGGGCATTTTACTATCGGCACATGATCATTTGCTACGAAATAACATAAAACAATGATTTTTTTATTCAGCATTTTCTGTAAATTATGAGAAAAAACATACAACAGAACAAAGTGTACAAGTTGTAAACAAGTAGATGTAGTCACACAGACGTCGTGTGGCTCTCAGGGCAGAATGCTGAAACCGGCACTGCTGAAATCCTGGGTTCGAACACAGGAATCTTCCTGTGATTAAACTGGGTTCTCAAGTGTAGCCAGATGATGGTCTAAGTCTGGTCACCGTCGAATTTGGTTTTGCACTTCGTTTGGCTATGCAGTATAGTCATACAGCTCTGTAACTCTCGTATCCACAGCGAGTGGGAAAGTGCTGTCCTCGATTGGGCGCTAGGACCAGAGGGTCACACTGCTATGCAAGACTCCCGAATAGATTACACTACGTCACACAATGTTTGTTGCTGGGTACTGTTATTTTTTAATTGCTCATGCGTTAAAAGTATAGAAATGGCTATTACTTCCCACACACTTTTCTTTTGTGACCAGGACGAAAGACACAAATGCACACGTTTTCTTATTGAAAATAGGCACATTTCGAAATATCACTGTCCTGGTCACAAAAGCAAAGTTTGTGGGGTATAATAGCCATTTTCTGTACTTTTGAGGCATAAGCAATTAGGAAATCACATTTACTACCCAGGAACAACAATAGTTTTGTTCCACAGTGTTATTCGTGAAGCCACATGACACCGATAGCACAATCGGAATGGCATTGTTGAAAAAATGGCAAAATAATATATTCTACAATACTATACACAGGGGTGTGATCACAAACAGCAGAAAAACACACATCTTGCATGCACGCCATGTGCACACCACGTTGCATGTACAATGCACTTAGCAGTACAGCAAGTGTTGACTAATGTTTCATCTGAATGGGATAGAGCAGTGCTTCGCAACCGATATGCCCCAGGTGTATTTTTGGGATTATAGCTGATAACCTCCCCGTTCGTAAACTGGGATAGACGAACTCTCCATGCCGTTCAGTGGCCGATCCAGCCCCCCAGCAACGAACAGTCGTCAACTCACCCCCCAGGCCCTCTCAACTCTCTCGGTCGCACATGCGCAGCTGCTGGGCGACTCCATGAAATACTGGACATCTGCGAAAAAATAGCTTTATAGCTCATCGGATTCCTCGAGTGCAAGTAAATATTCCGATTCTGAGCAAATAAGCCGCGACAACGCGTCCCCCCCCCCACCGCACCCCCGTCGGGTTCACGCGGTGAGCTTGTAGCTCGCTGTGCTGCGAAGATCGAGCGAGCTCGGAAGAAAGTGTGGTGGTGTGTGTGGTGTGTGTGGTGTGTGTGGGTGGTGTGGTGTGTGTGTGGTGTGTGTGGGGTGGTGTGTGTGTGGGTGGTATGGTGTGTGGTGGTGTGGGTGTGTGTGTGGTGTGTGGTGTGTGTGGTGTGTGGTGTGTGTGTGGTGTGTGTGTGTGTGGTGGTGTGTGTGGTGTGTGGTGTGTGTGTGTGTGTGTGTGTGGTGTGTGTGTGGTGTGGTGTGTGGTGTGTGTGGTGGTGTGTGTGGTGTGTGTGTGGGTGGTGTGTGTGGTGTGTGTGGTGTGTGTGTGGGTGTGTGTGGTGTGTGTGGTGGTGTGTGTGGTGTGTGTGTGGTGTGTGTGTGTGGTGTGTGTGGTGTGTGGTGTGTGTGTGTGGTGTGTGTGTGTGTGGGTGTGTGGTGTGTGGGGTGTGTGGTGTGTGGGTGTGTGGTGTGTGTGTGTGTGTGTGTGGTGTGTGTGGGTGTGTGGTGTGTGGGGTGTGTGTGTGTGGTGTGTGTGTGTGTGTGGTGTGTGTGTGGTGTGTGTGTGTGTGGTGTGTGTGTGTGTGTGGGTGTGGTGTGTGTGGTGTGGTGTGTGTGGGTGTGTGTGGTGTGTGTGGGTGTGTGTGTGTGTGGTGTGTGTGTGGTGTGGTGTGTGGTGTGTGTGTGTGTGGTGTGTGTGGTGTGTGTGGTGTGTGTGGTGTGTGTGTGTGTGTGTGGTGTGTGTGGTGTGTGTGTGGTGGTGTGTGTGGTGTGTGTGTGTGGTGTGGTGGTGTGTGTGGTGTGTGTGGTGGTGTGTGTGGGTGTGTGGGTGTGTGGTGTGTGTGTGGGTGGTGTGGGTGGTGTGTGTGGGTGTGTGGGTGGTGTGTGGTGTGTGTGGGTGGTGTGTGTGTGTGTGTGTGGTGGTGTGTGTGGTGTGTGTGGTGTGTGTGTGGTGTGTGTGTGTGTGTGTGTGTGGTGTGTGTGGTGTGTGTGTGGTGTGTGTGGTGTGTGTGGGTGTGTGTGTGGTGTGTGTGTGGTGTGTGTGGTGTGTGTGTGTGTGTGTGTGTGGTGTGTGTGGTGTGTGTGGTGTGTGTGGGTGGTGTGTGTGGTGTGTGGGGTGTGTGGTGTGTGTGTGGTGTGTGGGTGTGTGTGGGTAGTGTGTGTGGGTGGTGTGTGTGGGTGTGTGTGTGGGTGTGTGTGTGTGGTGTGTGTGTGGTGTGTGTGTGTGGTGTGTGTGGTGTGTGTGTGTGTGGTGTGTGTGTGGGTGGTGTGTGTGGTGTGTGTGTGGTGTGTGTGGTGTGTGTGTGTGGTGTGTGTGGTGTGTGTGTGTGTGTGGTGTGTGTGGTGTGTGTGGGTGGTGTGTGGGGTGTGTGGGGTGTGTGTGGTGTGTGTGGGTGGTGTGTGGGGTGTGTGGGGTGTGTGTGGGTGGTGTGTGCCAGCCAAACTCCACCACGTGCAAGTCGCGGCGTGCCATCGTCCGTTACCAGCACGTTACCAGCACGTTACCACCACGTTACCACCACGTTACCAGCACGCTCCCGTGGAGGGAGCACGCAAAGACCGCTTCTCATTCAACTCTCGCTACTTGTTCACGTTAGATGTGGGGTTTTGTTGTTGTTTACAAAGTAGATGAGACTGCTTCCAACGTCATCATGATCAACCATGAGATCAATTCGCTGCTCGACGATCGAAACTTGCGCGATTGTTTTAATTGCCGCGCCGGGAAGTGGGACTGAACCGGCGGCCTCTGTTCAAGTTCAAGTTCATGTATTAGGTATAGCCCTGTGAGCCATTCAGCTCTTGAATCGGGTGCAACCGCAACAAACAAAAACATGAACAAAAAACATCTTAAAGTGAATATGTGACTAAGTGCAAACAGAAAATCCAAGAAAAGACAGCAAAATATTGCAGAAAAAACACCGTACACCAACGCTGTGTGCAAAGTCCACTGCGCTAACGATTACTCATCACACCACGTTGGCTAAATCGGTAACCGTTTTTTCTAGATTTGAAGCTTTCGTGACTGCAAGGATTCATACTGTTAGGTTTTTTCGGTAAAGTCACGTAGGGAAAAATAAATAATAAAAATAAATAATAACATGGTAGAAATAATGATATAAATAAAGTAATAAATCACGACGTTTCGGGCGCAACACAAGCGTCCGTCATCAGGTGGGACAACCACAGCACGAAACAATCTTTCGATTTAAAGCTTTCGTGACTGCAGGGATTCATCTTCTTGGTTCTTTCGGAAAAGTCACGTAGAAGGGAAGTAATAAAATAAAAATAAAACATAATAAAATAAAATAATTCTCACGACGTTTCGGCTACAATGCAAGCAGCCGTCTTCAGGTGAAGAATGAGACACTGCCAAGCTAGGAGCTTACCTCCAACGCAGCGTATATATAAGCTCCTAGCTTGGCAGTGTCTCATTCTTCACCTGAAGACGGCTGCTTGCGTTGTAGCCGAAACGTCGTGAGAATTATTTTATTTTTATTATTTTATTACTTCCCTTCTACGTGACTTTACCGAAAGAACCAAGAAGACACGAAACCACCGTGTTATTTCAAGCTCTGCGGTTACCGGTCACGCAAAGCGAACCCGATTTCAAACAGACTGGCATTTGACGCGATGACGTCACCGCCTGACGCCACCGTGATGACGTCACCGTCTGACGCCACCGCGTGACGTCACCGCGCAGTCTGCTCCACCGCCGGAAGTGGGCGGTCCCCGCAATGATGGCGCCAGGCGCAGGGTAGAGGAGGCGACCCCCGTCGATGGTTCGTGACCTCGTCTCGGCCGCATCAGCTTCGCTTCACGCGGACGCGGCCGGTACCGCGTGGCGCGACGGGCCCGCGCGTCGGGACGCAGCGCGGCCGCTCCCCGAACGGATGCACGGCGCTCGCGACGGGTGCACGACCTAGGCCGCACAGCCTGCGGTGTTGCCTTGAGGCGCGGGCCGCAACACGGGCCGTGGACGCGGGGGACGCTAGGTGCCCAAGCTCCGGGCTCGGCCACGCATTGCCACGCCGCTCAGCTCGTGTCCTCCCGCTCCTCCTCCTCAGCCTTCCCTGCGCGGGTCCCGTGTAAGCGAAGGGGAGGCCCTGCTGTGAGAGCCCGGCTTCCGGTGGGCACGTGTTCCTTTGGAGTCCCTGGTGTCCCCAGCCCCGTGCGCCTCCCTGGTGCTCCTGGGGCGCCCCGCGTATCCCTCCCCCACCCCCCCACCCGGGAGTCTGGCCCCCCCCTGGCATCTTCGCTCCCCTGATTGCTTTGCTCCCATTAGCACGTCCGGTCGCTCCAACTCCGGTCTGCCTTGGGGTTTTCTCTCCCCCTGATCTCGCCTCTCTCCTTCCCTCGCTTGCCATCCCATCTCTCCAGCTCCCTCCTCGCTCCCGGAGTTGCCTCTGCATAAAACACGCGAAGTTATCTTTGTTCCCCCCCCCCACGTATCTTCTACTGTTTTATATGACTTGGGCGAATTGCACTTGAGGAGTTTTGTGCCACTGCCCACTCGTATCTCGCTTACCCCCTCTCCATTAGCTCCCTGGTCACGGTCACCCTCACGCACTACTTTACAAGGTTCCCCCCCCCCCCGTCAACTCCCTCGCTGGTGCGCAAAACAATGTCTGTGATAACTGTTCGCTATTGTTTGTGAAAACCATGTCATTAATGTAAATTTAAAGAACATTTTGAACCGGCAGTTGGCCAAATATTAAATATATTTAGTTTTAACAAAGAATACGAAAACCAGCATTTTCAAATTCGTCGGGCATGGCCAGCTGTAGTTCAAAATCGATGTAAGTCTTTGCCTAAACGCTCGCAAATATACAATCCCCAGCATCAGAAGACCACGTAATTTTCTTACCATGGAATGTGACGTTATAGGCGATAGAACGTGGGCAAGCCTGATTCTGGTTGATAGTAGGAAACGATCATGGTATGAATGCCAATAAAGGACAACTTCATATGTGTATCTGGGAGTTCTCACTGGCAATGCATTTACTATGAGCCATTCTGGCAAGATAGTAGGAGTTCTTTTTAGTCTATGAAATTGTTTAAAGGTGTTTGATGAGCAATGATTGGTCTACAGACCATACAACCTCCAGTTGTCATGTGATCTGATTTGAAGTTGCCATGTCGGTTGCCCAAAATGAAGGGTAACAATTAGATTTTTACATATTTTAGGCATTTAAAATGTTTTTTTTTTTTGCAGGAGACAACGGCCTGCAAACCAACTATTGATAATTCATATACACACAAAGATGCAACTTCAGTTTCGTGATTTAGCCATTCATTTATTTTGAGAGTTGGTGAAATGCAGATATACCACTATCAAATTTATATAATGAGCAGTGCGAAGTTTTACGGTTCAACTTTTCTGACTATCACCGGCAACAATTGCCATACATTTCTAAAGTGTATCATGGCACTAAGGAAGACGCGAATGTTGACTTGGACCGCTTTCGCTGCTTCCACTGCCGCGTGGTCTGCACTGCCAGAAGCCGAGGGGCAAGGCGCGTGGTTCTCGCGTGGGGCGCGAGGTTCGCGCCGCCGCCACTGCTTGCGGGACGGCCATGTCGAAGGTTCGGCGCACGGTGACGGTGGAGAGCTCCAAGACTGTGTCGGAAAACGCGCTGCGCCGGCCCAGCGTCTTTGAGCGACTGGGCCCTGGTGGGGGCGGAGGAGGAGGAGGAGGCGGCGGCGCCGGCACTGGCGGAGGCACCGCCAGCACTACGGTCACCCCCGTGCAGTCCAAGACAACTGAGGTGCGAGTCTCCAGAAGTTCTCACCATGAACAACTCTTAACACGGCACAATTCGCCCGATGAACCTGGTTGTAATTATCAGCGAAATGTCGTACTCAAATTGTGAATATTGTTGGTTTACTCTCCAACATAGCGGTGTGCTGAAATAGTAACTAATTGCCACATTTTGTTTACGTGACAAACCTTACTGATTGGCCGTGTCGGGTGGTGGTGGGTTAACGACATTTATATTTACGCGATCTTACTCAAATTTACTTTTATTATGAATGAACAACTCTGGCAACTTGGTACGGCAGTGGCAAAGAGTGACTGAGTTCTGCTGACCCTGCCACGCAAAACCCTCTGCCCCCTCAATGCACCGTGCATTTCCTCACCTGGTTTCACTGCTGTAAGATTTTAATTGTTTTGCGCGCTGATGATTGTTGTATCCCCTTGTGCAGATTTGCCGCAACTGGATGAAGGGGCGCTGCAACTATGGCAACAGCTGCAGATTCAGCCATCCGCTCCCACGAAGCAAGAACTACCGCGGAAGCAATCGCAGGTGCCACACGCCATGGGGAGGCATGATGTTTTATAAAGTTTGGTTGATTCATAATAATTTACATTCCTAAAGTGCCTTTCATCCGGAGATCACAAGGCACTGTACAAAACACACACATACAGGCTCACACCAATAAAATCCAACCCCAAAACAAATTTCATTAATTGGCATGTGATAATTCCCCAGGGATTTAGTAAATTGTTACAATTACAAATCACAATGCAATTGAAGAGTCATTGCTCATATTGTCTCATTTTTGCTTTTTCATTGGGATTATTTCTCTTTTTTATTTAGTTTAAAAAGGTCTGTCCGCTCAAATATTCTCGACGTAAATTTTGCCTAGCATTTGCATAAGTCAGATTCCAAAGAACACAGGATGAGATGTTACTATCCTTTGTGCAAGCACTTCCAAGAGTTCATGAACAGTGAGCCTGGTGAAATTTGGGGAGCGCATCGTCAGTAGTGACCCTTTGGTTCCTAGGGTGTTTCGGCCTTTCATACTATACACCCTCCTCAAAGGCGGCCAGCGACAGGGTGATCAATCCTACGCTTGCGTCCCATTCCCAATTAGTCATAGGAGTTGCCTTGTTGTTGGTAGCCAACATCCCATGGGACTATGCATGGCAGGGGCGTCCTCCTCCCTGAGTCAAGCATTGTTGACTGCATACCTCCTGGCCCTCTCACTTTGGGGCCCAGCTGGGGTCTTTCCTCTTCATCCAGAGCCACTGACTGCTGCCTTCTGCCGCCTCCGATACAGCTTTGATTGCCGAACGCTGGCTCTGGCCCTTAATTCCCAGGTCTCTAAGCAGTCTGGTTGTAGATGTTGCCACAAAACCTCTGCAGCCCACCTCCACTGGTCGGACTTCTGTGTTCCAGCCATGATGCCGTGCTTCGGCAGCTAGATCGGCATAGCGCAGATGTTTTCGCTCATAAGCCTCATCTACTGAGTCCTCCCAGGGTACTGTGAGCTCAATGATGAAGACCTTCTTGAGCGAACGGGACCAGAGCACCACGTCAGGTCTTAGGGTGGTGGTTGTGATCTCCGGAGGAAACACAAGTTGCCGGCCAATGTCAGCTAGCATTTTCCAGTCGCGAGCCAAGCGCAGCTGGTCTCGCTCTATTGGTGTAGAGCCGCTCTTCGGTGGTTTAGCCCCTTCGCGGACAAAGGTCGTCCGTAAGGGGTGTGATGCTGCTGGGGGTGGTAGGGAGTTGGTGGCAGCTCGCTTGTCCTCCAGGGCGGACGCAAGGTTTTTAAGGACTTGGTTGTGACGCCAAGTGTAGCGTCCTTGGGTGAGGCTTGTTTTACACCCTGTGAGAATGTGCCTGAGGTTGGCTGGCATGGAACAGAGGGCACAGTCCGGATCTTCACCATACCATTGGTGAAGATTAACTGGTGTTGGAAGGATGTCATATGTTGCTCTGATGGAGAAGCTCAACCGCCTCGCTTCCGTGGCCCACAGATCCTTCCAGCTGATCTTCCTCTTCTCCACACTGTCCCATCGAGTCCACTGTCCTTGTTTGGCAAGAGAGACTGCCTTGGCCCACCTTGCAGCCTCCTCCTGATGGCGTACTTCCTGCACTACCATCTTCCGCCGCTCTGGTGCAGTGGCCTTACTCCAAGCAGCACGGCTAGTTAGCCCAAGGCCTCCTCTCCCTTGCTGAACATGACCCACAATGTCAGCATGTCTGAGGGCTGCTGTTGCCTCCTGGACTGCTTTTCCTGGCCTCCATTTGCGCCCAGTTGCCAAGGTCGGCGCGTTGTTGCTCACCACTGGGTCTCGAGATTCATTCAGTGTCATCTGTTCTTTCATGCTTGATTAGATGCATGTATCATGAAAGTAATAATACATTTTAAGCAATCAGTGCCCTGCTACGTGCCTATTTATTAACCAACTGTTCTGCCTCTTTATTTCCACTTGTGAACGCACAAGACACCAACAAAATAAAATCAAGTCGATGCTTATGAATTAATTATGCATGTCTATTGAGGTACCCTATATCTTGTGAGGGCTAAGTTTTTGTACATCTGAAACAACAGCTGTGGTGTCTCTTGACTTGCAGAGGCTACTTTTCTCTCATGTGTCAGACAGGAAAGTTGTTTCCACAATGTCTGAGACAACTTTTACAAAAAATGAGGTCCTGACTTGAGGGATGCCCCCTCGCGTTGTCCCCGCAGGTCCCCCGACCGCGTGACCACCGATCTGCGTGAGCGCATGAAGAACAAGCGGCAGGACTTGGAGGCAGAGCCGACGTCTCGCAGGCAGGAAGCTTCACCCTCCCCTGGCAGGGTGAGCGCTCGCCATGCGGTTTGATCCTGCCACGCCTCGTCCGCCGCCTGTCGGTGCAGGAGATGCGCGGAGAAATAGGGGGGCCGTCCCCTCTGAGGCTGGCACAGAGGCCGTCTCCATCAAACTGAACTCCCACGGCGCGCGCTCTCTTACCCGCTGCTGCGTCCTGTGGACAGCGGTTTTGCGCAGGGCGCGGCCAGACACGCGGAAGGGGGGTTTTTGTCCGAAGAGTTGGTTCCGGACAATGCTGCGTGAAAGAGCGGCAGCGAGAGACGGCTTCGCAGAACGAGCGTGGTGCCATGGCTGTCGCCCGCAGAGAGACTCCACAAAGGTGAAGCGCCGGAGCAAGGAGGAGGCCAACATCAAGATCATCAAGGCACGCACGCCCCCTGAGAGTGACGGAGAACCTCCCGCCTGGGACCATGCCCGTGAGGGTAAGAAAGGCTGCTCTTTGACAGGTACCCGCCTTCGTACATGCTTTGGGACTACTTGCAGCCGCCCAATGTTCTTATCATCATAGTCATCAAAGTCATTCTACTGGTGATCTATTGAAAGACTTTTGTTCGTCCATTATTCTGCTTCAAACCTGAGTCGTACAAGGATCATTGACACCCAAATTATTATTTTTATTATTACATTCACCCTTAACAACGTGCAAGTTTGTTTTTTGAGAAGGCATGACGTGGACTGGAGAGCAGGCAGAAGCATTTAATGGAGAGAACCTCTCGGTGTCAACTGCCTCACTACCATCTGCGAGTCGTAACCAATGGGCATTGAGAAAATACCTGAGAGTGCGTAACAGTGCACGTTTGGACAAGACGAAGAGAGAGTGGGGATTGCACACCGCCATCCATTGTGGCAAAAGGACAACAACTGCGGACGGAGGCGTGGTAAAGATATAGCACCCAAGGTGCAGCCAAAACAATTTATAAAAAAAAAATAGCGACAATGCTTGCAGGCAGCATGGTGTCTTTTTGCATTCATGAAAGAAATTATTCAGGTGCCTGTACAAGAAATACAAATTTTAAACAAAACTTTTGCAAACGCCATCTGACAAAGCAATTGTGTGGTGGTACATTCACAACAGAAATAAGTGCGCATTGTAATGCCACGGTGTGTTTGGCTCATGGAAGTGAGACGATTATCCACAGAAAGCCAACCATGCATACGGATAGCACTTACAGCGCAGCACAGATAGATTCAAGAATCAATTGCTGCACTGCCATCTGGCCACCTCACAGCCGAAGCCCTAGACACCCACCTGGGATCGATTCCAAGTACTAACCAGGATCAAGCCCGCGTAGTCTCTGGGTCGTGGTGGAGCCACGATGGGCCTGCAGGGGAGCTTTGTTTGTCTGCACAGACTCGGACAACGGTGACGCCGCCTACGACTTTGGACAGGCGCTGTCGCTGGAGCTGCAGCGCCAGAAGCTGCAGCTAGAGCTGATAAAGCTGGAACAGGAGCGCGAGCTGGAGGAGCGTGAGGAGCTCGTCATCCAGAAGCAGGTGACACTGGCGCCATCCCCACCCCCACCCCCACCCGTGGTGACAAACCACGCCGGCCAGTCCTACACAAATACAGTCATTCTTACGCTGCCCGTGTGCGTGTACATGGCTTTCGTTAATTCGCATCCTGGACGTGCGCCTCAGCACGCTGTGTGAGCTGTGGGAGTTAGTTGACCTTGCTTCAATAACTCTGGTCATTGCGGGTTGGTGAAAGCGGGCAGAATAGACGACATAATTTGCTGTACTTCCCTCTGCTTACAACGTAGCCCTGCAGCAGCCTACGACACCTGTCTTGTGCGTGATGGTTGCTCATCCAAACACTGTGCAGGCTCATACATTCAATCTAGATTTGGAGTTTTCGTGACTGCAGGGATCCATACTCTTTGTTTCTTTCGGTAAAGTCACAAAGGTATAAAATAAAATAAATCACGACGTTTCGATTGCAACACAAGCAATCATCATCAGGTGGGAAAACCACAGCAAGAAAATTTGTTTCTTTTCGAAACGTGATTTATTTTATTTTATACCTACGTGACTTTACCTGAAAGGCTCATACATGCTTAGCTTCCGAGATCTCACGAGATTGGGTCCATTCCGGGTGATTTGGTCGTGGCACGCTCCTCATACTTGTGTCTAGCGTAGCATGTGATTGTAGATTGCTCACGACGCAAATTCAACACGTGAATTGTACAAATGACCATGACTATACAAATGAGATGGCAAAAACGAGAAAAACAAACTGATTCTTGAATGGAATCATGGCCCAGAGCTGTGTGGGGGTGAATCATTACATATCTAGAGCGTACCTCACTCTGTCCCTGTCGCTTGAGTAAGAACTGCATGCGAGCTTGTGTTGTACTGGACATTCTAGATTTGAAGCTTTCGTGACTGCAAGGATTCATATTCTTAGGTTTTTTCGGTAAAGTCACGTAGGTAAAAAATTTAAATTAATAAAAGTAAAATAAAAATAAAATCACGACGTTTCGGAGGCAACACAAGCTTCCGCCTTCAGGTGCTGTGACGGTTCCACCTGAAGACGGAAGCTTGTGTTGCCTCCGAAACGTCGTGATTTTTATTTTACTTTTATTAATAAAAAAATTTACCTACGTGACTTTACCGAAAAAACCTAAGAATATTGTACCGGATATTTGGCCCAATAAGTCAATCGGCCAATTAGTAGCACGTCGCGGTTGTGTTCTCGCTTTTCCGTCGTGCTAGGTGTCTCCGGAACCGGCCGTTAGCAAGCGGTCGCCATCCCCCAAGAGGAAGTGCAAGTCCCCGAAGAGGAGGATCCTTTCTCCGTGCTCCCCCTCGGCCCCACAGCCTCCCAACAAGAAGAACAAGAAAGGGCCAAGGACGCCGTCTCCACCCGGCGACGCTGAGCGGTCGGTTTTCAGTGCAGATGTTCGCAGTATAATTAGGTGCCCCTTTGAATAATGTAAGAATAACTTATTTTAGTAATTTAGTACATTTGTTGTTCGTGCCATTGTTATAGCACAAGGCTATCGTGAAGACCCTATATTTTAGACAGTCGGCAGTAGTTTCACAATAGGCGGGCGATGTTGCAATGTGTAATTCCAATTGGGTAAGTTGCAAGTAATTTTTCAAGTGTGACAAGTTTGGATCATGACGCCAGCGTACAATGCCCGACTCTTTCCAAATGACGCAGGGATATAAGACAGTGGCCCGGTAACAGTAGGCGTTGAAGATGTAATAATAGAGGAATGCCACATCGGAGGAAATGATTATAATTAATCTGGAAGCACCGTGGTGGAGACCGAGAGGCAGGTGATGAACTAGGATGTGCAGGACTGTGGATTGGGCTCGGAGATGATGGCCCAGGACAGGAATGAGTGTAGAAAGTGGAGCAGGAAGGCAGAGCCCACATGAGTGGGAAACTTTCCAGAAATAAGGTGATGCTGATGATATAAGACGTAGGCATGGAATGCATGGGAATGTAACATTGACTCTGTTAGACAGTCGCACTTGAGCTGTTCGTGTGAGACTTCGCCAAACATGTTGTGCTCAACCGCTGCCGTTTTGCACTCACTGCCCCACCGCTCACAGGAAATACCCCAAGCTGCTGGGCAAGAAGAAAGGGCCGCGCACGCCCAGCCCTTCGCCGCTCCCGCCCAGCAACGAGGCCCGGCTGCTGAAGAAACACAAGGACAAGCTGAAGGAGGCGGAGGGCAAGAACAAGGAGCGCAAGGAGATGCGGGACGGCAAGGCGGCGCGCGGTGACGCCAAGGAGCCCAAGCACAAGGGCAAGGACGTGGAGCGCGGCCGTGACAAGGACCGAAAGGACCGCGTGAGGTGTGCCGCGCGGGGTCCGAGATCGCGTTGGGCACAGAGTGAGGGTGGCGGCCTCGCCCGAGCTGGGCCGTGCCACTGCTGCCCGTGCTGTGTCGGTGTCGATGCCACCGCCGCCGCCACAACTGTAGTTGCTGTTTGAGTAACGTAACGGAAATGCTCCTGCGCGTTGACGCTTGTAAGGAAGCTAGTGATGCTCTGTCGTGATTGCAAATTAGGTGAAGTGCATTGGTTAGCGAAACTGGCGAGTTCAATTCCTGGCCAATGATAACATCAGTGGCGAGTTACATTTGAACTACTCCGGGGTCCCACCCTACACCAACCAACCCAGTTTGGTCAAGCAGCCTCCATGATGGTGATGGCGTGTGGCCTTCATCAGTGGGATGACAATGGGCTGTCTAAAGGATTTGTCATAACTGTACCAATTTGCACAGATTTTACCCCGTTACGCAATATGGATCGAAGAAGCGCATGTGCCTGAATCCAGGAACTAATTTATGGACTCTGAGAGGTGTTTACCTGTCCATCCCACAGCTGCGCAATTACATTTCGTAGCCGCTTGCTGAAAGTGCGAAACATTTGTCTCCAGCTTTGACCAATACAGGTTGACACTAATTTTGAGCGCTGACGCGAGTGATCGTACGCAGCAACGTCTCACGCTGGTGACGCGGCCTGTCTGTGCAGAGACAAGGGGAGGCACCACTCGGACTCCTCCACCACCAGCCCCCAGCACTCCCCGTCCCCACCGGCCAACCGCGCATCCCGACGGTCCCCGTCGCCGGTGCACAGGAAGAGCGGTTTGACCCGGGCGGTCAAGCCCCTGGGCCGCAACCGCGAGCAGCAGCAGCAGCGGGAGATGTCGTCACGCTCGCCCGAGCGGGGCAAAGAGCGCAGGCGCCCGTCGCCAGACACCGGCAAGGAGCGCACCAGGCGGCGCTCCTTGTCCTCCGAAAGCAGCAGGGACCGGCGCTCGCACTCCCCGCTGGCGCCGAGCAAAGACCGAGGCCGCCGGCGATCCCTGACGCCCGGCGCCGGCAAGAACCGGGCAAAGCAGCGCAGGCTGTCGGCCAGCGGGCGGGAGCGTGGCGGCCGGGCGTCGCCCTCGCCCGGTAAGGAGCGTGCGCAGGATTGGTCGCCGGGGACGGGAAGAAAGCGGCGCTCGTTGAGCTCTGGGAAGCGGGCGCCACGCAGACAATCGCACTCTCCGCCCGCCGTGGCTGAGCGCGCCTCGCGCTGGTCCCAGTCGCCGGCGGCCGACGCGTAGGGACAAGCACGGCAAGCATCGTGGCAAGTCGCCCGACGGGGCCAAGGAGCGGGCCAAGCGGAGGTCGCTGTCTCCGCCGGTTGGCAAAGAGCGCGTGCGCCGGCATTCGAGCTCTCCCGAAACGAACAAGAGCCGGTGCAAGCGACGGACACAGTCCCCGGCCGCGATTGCCGCGCGAGGGCGGTCGCGCACGCGATCTCGGACGCCCGGCGCCGGCAAGGAGCAGGTGCGACGACCCTCCCACTCGCCACCTGCCCGAAAGGACAAGGGCAAGCGTCGATCGGCCTCCCCGCCTCTCTCGGGCAAAAAGCAACGGTCCAAATCACCGGTGGGCGTTAGACGGCGCTCCCGAACTCCCCCCAAGCCCAAGCAGCCCCTGGTGAGGTCCCCGGTTGTCGGCAAAGAGCGTGGGCGCAAGCGATCGCCGCCGGTGCCCTCCCCCCCGCCGGCCGCCACCCTCGCTGTCCCCACCAAGCAGCTTGGCAACAAGCGCAAGTCTCGCTCGCCCGTTCCCGCGCCAGCAGAGAGGAGCCGCGAGCCGAAGCTCCTGTCCCTGTCTCTCCCAGCAAAGGAGCTCCCCAAGGTAACCCGGGTGTTCGAGCTCTGTGGAGTGAAAATTACAGGTCAACTACCATGTGTCAAACATCTTATTGCAGGGTGTGTTGGATCTCAGAAGTAGTTCTGCAATATCCTTCCATGGGCAATCTTTTATATGGTATTATAAAAGCAATGGATGAGTGTATAACTGTGTGTTGAGTTTGGCAAAGCATTCGATGGCACATGAAGCCACCAGATGGATTCCATTTACAAAGGCGGTGACTGCATCGTGCACTTTCAGATGCGCTTCTGCGGCCGTCTGGAACGCTCTTCCAATATTAGGAAGCCACTGCAGCTATGCACTTTTAAATCATCTAGATTGGAATCTAACTTCTTTACAACTGCTTTTTGTGTATAGTTGTCCCTCCCCCCCGGACCTCCGATTAGCACGATTGGCTACGTAGTGTATCTCCTGTGGCACCGTGTCACCACCCTTGCCTTGTGAAATACGACCTTCTGTATTGTTTGGCTCCAGCGGGAGAGAGAGGCACTGGTACTGCCGCCCAAACCACCGTCCCCTCCTCCGCGAAAGGGGCAATACCGCGGCTGGTCCGAGTCTCCGCCCATCGGAGCCGACCAAGGCCGGGCCTGGTCGCAGTCGCCGCCCTCCTGCAAGGACCCGTCCAAGCGCTGGTCCGAGTCGCCTGTGCTGGTGCCCCTCCCACAGCACCACCGGCGAGCTGCGCCACCAACCCTACTGCCGGCGCCGGAGCCCAAGCGACCCTCGCCTGCGCCAGGTAGCGTCTTGCCCCGCACCTCCGATTAACACGGTTGGATATATACGCTGCGAAGAAAGTTCAAAGTATATTTTACATAGGTCGCCTGTAGTGAGTGACACCCCACAGAGCAGAAATTCCATGTTCAGAACTGATGTAGACCGGAGCTACTTTGCCAAATCTCACCGCCGCCAACTTCTTGTTGCACGTCGCTGTGTGTGATGTCAGAGTGCTGGACTCTTGAAACTGATTTGTTTGAAACTTTTGTTGTCTTTCTTTATTGCACATATTTATGACGCTTTATTGATTTTGTTGAGAAACCATGTTGTCTCGTTTATTTGCGTATTTCCCCGCACAGTGGGTCTCTCTTCTAGCTTTGTAGTTTTCTCAGTGCTCCCTCTCCTGGCTATAAATACAATTCACGTGTTATGTATCTACGTACGCGTGCATGTAATTGAGAGCAAGCAGCTGTTTGATTTGGGAGACGGGCACACAGCCGTAACAGCATTGTTTGCGGAGCGAGTCGGCGAGGCCTAATGCAGCGCATTCAAAAGCACGCGCGGAGTTGTGTGCGTGCGGAGTTCTAACGGGACTCTCTCCGCTGCAGGGAAGCCGCAGGCGAACCGTCAACGCGCCCAGTCTCCGGCGTCCAGCCCTGGCAGCTCGCCGGAGCGGTTGCGCAAAAAGTCGCCCCCTTCGCAACCGGTGTCCACCTCTTCCACCGTCTCCAAGAGGCACCTGCACTCTTCCCCCCCGCGCAGGTTCGCCCGCACCTCCCCCCCATTCTTCTCTCTGGGCAGGGCACCCCCCTGACCCTACTCGGGGCACCTTCATCTCGGGGTCAGGGCACCCTCGTCTCAGGGTAGCCGCACCCCTGTCGTGCCGAGGAGTGCAGTTGCCCTGCCCCTGTGGTTCGGTGATGCCGAAGGCTCTCGCATCTCCTGTACCTTAGATTATAATTGTGCAACATTCATTGTCAATAACCTATTCTCGCCCACGCAATTTGTTGCGTGTATCATAAGCATTTGAATATACCCAAATCGACGAATTATTAAATGCTGAGCGCTGGCTTAAATTAATAGAAGGGATGGTTGGCCTGTTTCAAAGCGGTATTGAGTGAATTATTCATTTGACCGTGACGCCGGGTGGGTGTGCGGGCTGTGGCCGGGTTTGTGCTGGCCGGGCGGTCGTAGTGTTGACGATGTTGTCCGGTGCCGGCGCTGCAGGGTGGCGCGACCACGTAGCCCCGAGTCGCCTGCAGCAAGTCCGGCGGCGCAGCGGAATCGGCGGGGGCAGTGGCGTTAGCGGGATCGTCTCTCCGCGGCAGCGCAAGCAGCCGCCGGCTCCGCAGCCCCAGCATCTGGAGCAGCGCGCCGCCTCGCCGGCCCCCGCCATCACCGTGACCGCTCCCGAGGGCGCGCGCCGGGCTTCCCGCTCGCCTGCGCGCAAACCTGCCAACGACCCGTCACCCCCCTCCAGGTGGGCCCCGCGTCCCCATGCGGCACTCTGGAGTTAAATAAAAATGCTCCTCGCTGTGCAGATTTTCAGTACGCGTTGCCGTGGCGTTAAGGGCTCGTCCCAGCCACAGTGTTAAGGAGTCGTTTTCATCTAATCACGATTGCAAGTGGCTGAATTTTTACACCCCAAATATTCATGGAGAACCAATCTTCTGTATGCAAGGGCCTAGATTTGAAGCTGCAAGGATTCATACTCTTAGGTTTTTTCGGTAAAGTCACAGTAGGTAAAAATTTTAAAATAAAAATAATAATAGAAATAAAATAATAATAAATGAAAATAAATCGATTAAATCACGACGTTTGGAGGCAACACAAGTCTCCGTCTTCAGGTGGGACCGTCACAGCTAAATTACTGTATTATTTTATTTCTATTTTAATATTTTACCTACGTGACTTTACCGAAAAAACCTAAGAGTATGCAAGGGCCTCTCGCATTGGCAAAAGTGTCTGAGGTGTGTGTGTGTTAAGGTGTGGCCACCCGCCAAAGGTATGTGTGAATGTCCTCGTTGGCCCTCGGTGTGGAAGGCCCCTGGCTTCATCGGTTGCGCCCGCCGTATGCCACAGGGCGAGGCGCACAGCGCCGCTGCACGGCCGCCGCTCGGAGAGCCCCCAGGTTCGGCGCCGTCGCCCCCCCTCACCGGTGCCGCCACCGCCGCCACCGCCGACGTCCTGGGACCGCCCCAAGAGGGACGCGTCCAAGCGGCGAGAGCCGGACAAGTCTCCGGACAGAGTCGACGGTACGGCCGGGGAAGAGAGAGAGAGGCAGGGTGACCGCAGTCGCCTGGTTTCCATGTTCACACGTGCGCACACACGTACTGCACTTTTGTCCGTCTGCAACTGGATGAGGGTGTCCACGCACCATACAGATCGTCGGGGTGCTTTGCCTATGCTTTTGCACGCTGCTCAGTCAGTGCGGGTTGGTGACCATAGACGCGGAAGCGTAGAAGTACAGAGCAACAGTGGATTTAGCTTCACTGCCCTCGGCTACCCGCCACGTTGCCCTGCAGCTGGCTGCTTGTGCGTAGTTGTCGGCCATTTCTAAACCTTGCCGAGCTTCCAAGATCTGATGAGATTTGGGTACATTCTGGGTAATTTGATTATAGGGCACCTGGTTATCTTTAAGAGGTATTTTTAATGAAGAGAACTGCATTAGTCTAGACTTGGTTTTACATGAACGATTCAGCGTATCTGGTTTCTTTGTCAAGGCATTGCCTAATGTACACAGTTGTACAACATATATGGGCTGATTCGCGCAGGTATTTTCCTCCTGGACAAAGAGCGTTATAATGAAACAGCGTTATAAGAGGCAGCGCTTTGAGTGGTTTGCCTGTAATTGGAATGAGGATTTTCCAAATTCGATTGCTTTGTATAAGTTGAGTAACTAGTGAATTTTCTAATAGATGTATTCTCCTTCCCTGCCCTTTGGTGTTAATATTATGATTTGTTCATTGGTTTCACAGTAGTGCCCTATTAAATTGAATATGTATGTCTAGTTTAATTTATCCTATATACGCAAAGAAAATATCAAGGACGTGCTTGTTTTCCACTCGTGAGTGTTATGATTTGTTTAGGAAAGGACATCCTGACGGTTTTTCTAAGCAAACCTTCGTCAAATAAATGGCGCAATGAGCGTGCGTGATGAATCACGTGGAGGGGTGCCGGAGAGCTGACGCTAAATTCCGCACGGCTGTGACCACAGACGCGCGCGCGAGGACGGACAAACGCGAGGGCAAAGACTGCGGCGAGGCAGAGCGTGCCGCCGCTCGAGATCGCGAGCGCAGGGAAGAGCGCGACGCCGCCCGGCAGCTGCCGCCGCCGCCACCCGAAAAAGCGCCGGAAAAGGAGAAGGCCCGGTCGGAGCGGGATGGCAAGGTCGAGGGCCGCTCCGACGGCTGGAGGGACGGCAGGGGGGCCGCAAGGGAAGGCCGGGAGCCGCGCCGGAGGGACGAGGCTTCGGCAGGAACGACCGGCGCCGCGGCCGCTGACGACAGGGCGTTTGGGCGCACGGGGCGCAAGCGGGAGGAGGGGATGCGCAAGGAGGATCGGAGCGGCGAGCGGGGCGGGCGCAGCAACGAGCGTGCGCAGGACAGAGGTGGTGGGTCCCTCGCCGGAGGAGAGCAATCTCTCATTTTCATGATGCTGTTGCTCTGTGTAACAATTAATCCACGATAAAAAATCAATTCAAGTTGCATATATATCACGACTTCACAGTTGCGATATGTAAGCAACGTGAGAGTGATTATTTTTTGCATGGTCTTGCATCGTTATTATCGCTCAACCCCTTGGCTATTTGTCACACGAATGAAGGCCCACATCTCACGGTTGAAGTGCTGAGAGCCCTTGCTTGCCGCTGTGGCGTGTGAGATTGCTGCGTGTGACCGCAATGCTGTTCGCTGTGTGCCGCAGGCCGTGGCGGCGGCGGCGGTGTTGGCAGCACCAGGGTTGGGCTTGCCACGTGGGACAGCAGAGCAGCGGCGGCGGCACCCGACAAGGCTGCACGGGAAAACCGCGATTCCAGCCGCGACGCCTCGTTCGACAGACGTGAAGAGCGCCGGGAAAACCGCGAGCGAGGTGCTCACGTGGCATGGGGTAGGGGTGATCATGACGATGAACTGGGTCATCATCAGCTGCACTCCTGCTCACCTGGCATTGTCACTTCATGTCATTCATTTATGAAGGAAAGCCTCATCTCACTCCCTCCACACACACTCTGCTCCAGCATCCAAGGCTCTCTGTCAAAGCCCCCAAGTCAAACTTTGCTCATTGGAGATTGCTCATCCTCTTTTGCCTCCTTGCCCATCTTCAATTCGAAGCTGAAGACCTTCCTGTTTTCCTCTGCCTATGCACTTGCTTTCCGTACAACGACTTGGGGAATGTGGTTGCATTTAGGGGCTGTAACAGTCCACGTTTTGTTGCGTTGCAAACCGCCGTGGGTCTCGCTTGATTGAAAGCGTCGCTTCCCGTCGGCATTCGCAGACGGCGCCGCGGCCCCCGGGAGCCGCCCGGCGTCCCCACCGGCGCGACCCTCCCAGCGCGGAGGCGCCTCGAGGGATCTGCCGTCTCTGCCCCCGGCCGGCGATCGTGACGCGGCGCGGCGGGAGGTGGAAAGGAGAGAGCGCGACCGCACCGACGGCGGCGGTGCCGGCGACCACAGGGACCGCGACAAGGAGAGGGAGCGTTCCGGCGCCGAGCACCGAGAGCACCGCGACAGGGAGCGCGCCGACGGGGAGCGGAGGGAACGCGAGAGAGCCGACGCCGAGCACCGCGAGCGCGAGCGCTCGGACGCCGAACACCGCGAGCGCGAGAGGGAGCGCGAGCGCTCGGCCGCCGAGCTGCGGGAGCGCGAGCGGGCGCGCCCCGCGGACGCGGAGAAGAAGGCCGAGCGAGCGAGGGAGCACAGGGAGCAACGCGAGAGAGAGCGAGCCGAAGGGCCGGACGCCGGCGAGAGGGAGCGAGGCAAGGAGAGGGGGGGCGGCGGCGGCGTGCGGGGGCGCGGCGGGCGCGGCCGCAGGAGGGAGGAGCGAGAGCGGCGGAGGGAGGAGCCGAAGGAGGAACGGCGCGAGGACGGAGACAAGAAGAGGTGAGGAGGTTGGCTCGGCACGTCTCCGCACGTCGCTGCGTCGCCGCGCCCTCTGAGAGACGCGTGCCGCCATTGTGCCATCTCAACCGTCATTTGATTCCAAACTGTCAATTCTGTCCAATTACTTCATATACTCACCCTGCATCTATTCTGATGTTTCTGTAATTTAATAGAATTTCCGAGCTAACTTTTGCGAGGAGAATTTTATTTCGTGTTGTACTTGCTGTCTGCTTTTGTCACGTTGGTGGCCCAGGTCACTTGCAAATGAGACTCACCCTGGTCACTGTGAGTTCTCTCGCCTGGCTTAACAAAGTAAACGACGTGAAACTTGTGCCCAGGAAGCGGACGCGAGACGTCAGCAGCCCGACTTCCCCGCGGCCTTCTGCAAAGAGACTGCGACTCAAGTCACCCGAGAGCGCCGACTCCTCCAACAGCGGCGATGACCGAAGTGTGTGACTCCTGCTCGCTCGCCCGCCCACCACCACCACCACTGGCAAAACCGAGACTTCCCGAGTACACGTGGCCCAGCTGTAGCGCCGAGGATTGTGGATTCGAATCCGGCAGGCCACCCCCGGTCGTTACTGCAGGCGCATCGTCCGTAAAAATACCACGCGCCGGTCCGCTTCGCGTTGGCCGTTCACGATCCCCGTGACGTCATTCGAAAAGAGTAGGCCCTTGTGTGCTGACGTCACGGTCTAAATTTGTTAAAATTGTAAAAATTACCTTCAAATTACTCAATTGGAAATACAAAAAAGCAACATCGCTGCCTATTGTGCAACCACTACAGGCTATGCCTGTAAAGCTGAATCTTAGCACCATTGTGGTGTGATAGCCTTGCGCTGGGAGAATGGTGCGAAGAACAAATGTTACTAAATTTTTACAAACAACACTTTACCCTTCCACATGGGGCAAATGAAAACCGTTGTTTCAGAAAACGTGTTCGTGGCCAGCTCTTTTATCGATCCACTGCTGGATGAAGGTCTCCACACGCCCTGCGGCTCGTGGGGGTCGTCGGGGTTATTTGTCCATGTGTCACCACCCCCGTCGGTGCGAGTTATTGGTCGCCCATCAAAGCACTGTCTAGGCTCAACCCCACTTAGTTTTGAGATCTCACGCTTCGGTTATATTCAAGTAATCGATTTCCTGCTCGAATGAGCCGGTGATGGAGCTTCCACATTCCTAGATCAGGGGCGAGTCATTTCATAGCACAACCACTTAACTTCCCCGCATCCTGATGCTGCGCCGAGTCAGCCCCCAACAAGGATTTGAGCGACTGCGAGCTGCGTCATGTACCAGTGAGCTACCTGGCTGGATTTGTCTATTGGGAAATCAAATAATGATTAAAAATAAATGGGGTGTTTTTCTAATTCCAATTTTTACTAAACTGACACATCCTTGGTTGCATCGCACTCCGATCCGTCTTGTTCGAACACTTGGGCGCAGCCCCCTGGGAGCCGTCGTCCGATTCCGTCGACTGTGACGACGACCCCCCTTGCCGTGTCGGTGTGGCCGTGCAGGGCAGCGCCGGGGCAGGGAGACCCGCCTGTCCAGCCAGGTGGTGCTGCCAGCGGAGTCGACGCTCGCCGGCGGTAGTCCGGCGCGCCGGGCCGAGCAGACGCCAGAGCGGCGGCGCGAGGCCGACCGGGCCCACGGCGTGACGCCCGACCGTAACACCAGCCTCATCCAGGAGCGCCTCAAGTCGGTGGCGGCGGGCGAGGCGCTGCCCACGCGCGAGATCGACGTGCGCGAGCAGTTCGTCGACCGCCCGCGCATGCCCCAGTTCCGCAAGCGCAAGCCGAGCCGGCCGCAGCGCCGCAAGCACAGCAAGTCGGGCTTCGGCGACAGGGCCGCGGGGTCGCGCGGCGGGAGCAGCACCGGGGAGCGCGAGGCGCCGCACACGCCGCCTCGGCCGTCGGAGCGGTCGGACGAATCCGCCCCGGAGAGCGGGCGGAGGAAGAGGGCGCGCGAGGAGGCGGAGTCTTCCGACGACGATTCGGTGACGCACGTCAAGAAACGCAAGGGGCCCAGCACCCCGCCCGTGCCCGCGCCCACCCCGCCCTCTTCCTCGCAAACCGAAGTGTCGCGGGACGACGTCGTCGTCGCGAAGAAGGAGCCGCCCGCGGAGCGACCCGAGAGTCCCAAGGAGGTGGACGAGAAGCCGGCGAGCATCACGGCCGGCGAGGTGTTCAGCGATTGGTCGGACGAGGAGGTGCCGTGCCGCCCCGAGGGCGAGCCGAGGGGAGACGACGAGGCGAGGAAGGGCGAGCGCGGCGGAGAGGCCCGCGGCGTCGGACTCCGCGACGAGAGGCCGCGGCCGCTCGGCGGAGAAGGCCTTCGAGAAGGGGCCTGAGTTTGAGCGGTGGGAGCACGGGGGAGCGGAGGAGCGGCGCGGCAGCACGGCCGTCGTCCCCTGGGAGCGCGACGCCGAGCTCGAGCGGGAGCAGGGCGAGAGCTTCCGCAGGCAGGCGCCGGCGCGTGACGAGCGCTGCTTCTCGCCCGTGGGCTTTCTGCCACCCGCCGAGCCCCACCGGCTGGAGTGGTTCCATGCGCGGCGCGACCCCGCCCTGGAGCAGCGGGACTTTGAGGACGGGAGGCGAGTCACTCTCCTCTCTCCGTTACATTCTCCTCTGCCCACTCTTCCCTCTACTTTACCCTCTATCTGAATTCTTCTAGGGGTTTTTTTTGGGTTAGGTTTCATAAATATATAAATGTGTCATTAAAACCTGCCACAGCCAACTCGTAAGGGTTGTCATGTAAACAGAATGTCGCCAATTCGTCACTAGTACAGCACACCGGTGTGTTGGAGAGCCAAGCCATAACATTTACAAACTGAGTACGACGTTTCGCCAGTAATTACAACTGGCTTCATCAGGCGACAGCCAGATTTGTGGAGAAGTCCACCTGTTCCGTTTCTTATATAGAGGCGTAGATGTGGTGACCACATTTCTGCGCTCTTCCACAAAGTGGGGGGGGGATTAATGAGTCAACGTTCATTTTGCATGCGCATCATGCGAGCCCTTTGATCTTGTTCTTTCTGTCCACTGTGTGTATTAAAATAGCTTACCAACGGTGATCCCTATTGAAGTATGATGGCCTGTATAGGCATTCATTTAAACAATGTACTATTTGATGATTCGCTTCTACGCAGCACCAAGTTGGTAGCTATCCAAACGGTAAAAATTATTTTGACTTCTTTCAACATTATCAAAATCAATTGAGTGTCCTTGTTGGCACGCACATAATGCGCATGCATAATGTACATTGACTCATTTATCCCCCCCAACTTTGCGCAAGAGCGCAAAAGCCGTGGTCACCACATCTACGCCTCTATATAAGGAACGAAACGGGTGGACTTCTCCACAAATCTGGCTGTCGCCTGATGAAGCTAGTTGGAATTACTGGCGAAACGCCGTAGTCAGATTGTAAATGTTGTGGCTTGGCTCTCCAACACACCGGTGTGCTGTACTTGTGACGAATTGGCACGTTCTGTTTACGTGACAACCCTTACTAGTTGGCTGTGTCGGGTGGTGGTGGGTTTTAACGACACATTTATAGATTTACGCGATCTAACCCAAAAAAACCTCTATTATGGATGATATTGGTCGCGAAAGCCTACTTGTTAAACTGAATTCTTCTCTGTCGAAATATTCACCTCTTCCTCAATACATTAGCCACATGGATATCGTGGCAAACAACATGTGAAAATGTTAATTATCCTGATAATAAAAACTAATTCGTGATAGTCTTGGTGTAGAACAAGCAGTAAGTAGTCATGGTGTGACACGGTTCTATGTCTTGAGTGAAGGGAAACGTGCTCCGAGTATCATGACTTCTCTCTCATTACTCCGGGACGTCTCTGACCCACATTGCTGCACCACCAAGCGTTCTGCATTGCCAGATGCTGATTATGGAGTTTCAATTGGGCTGTTCCCTTAAATGCTGTACCATTCAGTCTGTCGCTTTCCCTATTAGCGACTGTGTTGTGGGCGTCTCCGAGGATTGGTGGTTGTGGGAGAACCACGACGAGCACTGTCGCCATGCGCCTGCCCACAGTCTTAGCCGTGGGCGGTGAAGTAAGCGGCGCGACCGACGTGGGTTTTGTGGACGGCAGATTCCGGTGCGATGTGCCCCTGCCGCCCCTGACGCCCCTGGCGCCGCTGCCGCCCCTGACGCCGCTGCCGCCCCTGGCGCCGCTGGCTCGCGAGGGCGATCGACCCGGCTGGGTGGACAGCTTGCTGGTGGAGCGCGGCTTCGAGGACCTGCGCAGGGACAGCCGCGGCAGGGAAGACGCACGGTGCGTGCGTGGGCAGTTGATTATCAGCGAGATGCTTACCCTGTAAATTTCGGTGCTGCTTTTTTCTGTCTTTAAGTATTTAGCCGATTGTTGTAAATACTTGATTCCAACCCTTGCTCTCTCCGAGTCTCGACAGTAACGCTCATTTGAATGCAGCCGCAAGGCCTGTGGCCTACCCCTCGGCCTCCTCGTCCATCTATGAGGTCCTGTAGCTCAGAGAACCTGGTCGGCAGAGTCAACCAAGGGGAAGCAAGCCACATTCCCAAGTGCCGTCATGTCATGCACTCAGCAGTTAGCCTACGGTTAAATGCAGTCATCCCATCGTTACCTCAAGAGTCCGCAAAGAGACCTGGTAACAAAGGAGTTTCGTCGTTTTTGCTGTATGGAGCTGAGACATGGCCACTCAGCCCCAAAGAGCGCAAGACAAGAAGCACAAGAACCTCAAAAAGAGGCTTTTGCAATGCCATGAATGACGGGGTGCAAATAAAGAAACCGTGCACCGCGCTCCGTGTGACCCCAGGCCGATGCGTGACCACGCCAGCCTGCTGTGCGAGCACCACGGCCGCAGTAGCAGCATCGGCAGCAACCAGAGCCGCACGTCAAGCCGGCACCGCCGCTCCACCTCCACCGAGTCCCCGCAGCGCGCCGCCCGCACCGCCGAGGAAGACCGCGCCGCCGCCGCCATCGCGCTGCATAAGCCCATCCTGCTCCCCTTGGGCCTCCCCGTGGGCCTGCCCGCGGGCCTCTCCGCGGGCCTCCCCACGGTCCTGCCCATTGGCCTGCCGATGGGCCTCCCGCCCATGGGCATGGGGGTGGTGCCACCGCAGTCCGCGTTGCTACCGGGCACGGAGGAGATAGCTGCGGCGACGCCGCCGCTCCCGCTTGCCGGATCGCGCGAGGCCGACCGTGACCGGCGGAGGAACCGCAGTGCCGAGCGGTCATTGGACCGGCGCTCGTCCCGCCTGGAGCAGCTTCGCCGGGAAGAGTCGGGCTCGTCCGGTGAGACACTACTCACCTTTCACCTTGAGAGTCAATGGCTCTGGTAGCTCCCCCTTGCACACATGCCTTGGGTACAGTTGTATTCCATGCCCAAAAGCCCTATAATGCACCATCTGTGGTTCAGCAAATTAATTAATGAGTCCGGGTACTGAAACTGCCATCCTGCAAACCCGAGGCTCTGGGAGTGGTCGCTGAGACACACAGCTTGCCGAGACGCAAAGAGATACAGATTAGTCAAGGCGAAATATATGGGAGAGAGATGCGAGACCTGGTTAGGAGGGCCTGATTACCTGATTACCACTCACATTTTCAGATGACGTCACAATGTCGTGTTGACATCACAATGTCTGAACACGCTAATTTTACCCCGTATTGTTTTTATATAAGACCTGTGTCGTTGGTTTTATATATCGCTCCTCCTGGTGCATCTGTGGTTCTTGGCACCGGCAAGAAAACGGTCGTCGTCGTTGGGAGTTTGCCGCCCTGTGTTAATCGCGGCTCTGAGCGGGCGCCGGTAACGCCGTCGTGTCCGCCGGCAGAACGCCATGACGTGGACCGACACGGCCGCGGCTCGCGACACAGCTCGCCAGAGTCGGGTCGCTGGGGCCACGCCCGCGCCGGCTCTTACGACGGCCGGGAGCGTGTGGCGGCACCTCCGCGCAACTGGGACCGCAGACGCGGGGACCGCGAGCGAGAGCGCGACGGCGACAGGCCGCAGGCGCCGTTCGACCACCAGCACCACCACCATCACCACCACCACCACGGACCGCCGGTGCCAGGCCTGGCGAGCACGCCCCGCGGGGATTTGCCCGCCGAACTCGGAGCCGCGCGGCAGTCGGAGGACGGCATCGCCGTTCGAGCGGCGCAGGAGCACGGCAGCCACGATGGGCGAGCGGTCGACACTGCCGACGGTGAGAGCTTCCGCAGGCCGCCAACAGTGGCGACTCGCTCGACGCCACGTTTTATGGTGACAAGTAGCAATGCATCGATTGATAATTTTTAATAGAGTTTTGCGCTCGCAATGCATTTATTGAATTATAGAAGAATGGAGTATTTCAATTGTGCAAATAGATTGCAAATTGAACATTTTGTTATTCAAGCAAACAACTGCAAATGAGACAAAAAAATGCAAACGAGATGTAAAATCTCTTGAAAAGAAAGGGATTGGACTCTTGAGTCAAATCAGGGCTTGGAATCGTTATAATTCATCAGATCACCAGAGGATAAGGGGGGAAGGGTGGGTGAATCGGTACAGGCCTACTTCTAACGTCTCGTGTTCTCCTCCTCTGGTGTATAACGGGGGTTGGGTCACCTCGTGCCTTCCCGGCTCCGCCATGCTGCCGGCACCCCGCGCAGGAAGGGACGCGGAGATGGGACCGCCAGGAGCCTCGTACGAGGAGTACGAGCCCATCAGCGACGACGAACTGGACGAGATGCTGGCCGACGGCGCAGACGGGTCACGTGACCCCAACAAGCAGACAGGTGCCGCATCCCCAATCCAACTTGTAGGGGCAGCTTCGTCTGACAACGCGGGGATCGCTCGGCTATTCGGCGCCGTCCACTCCGCGTGACAAATGCCGACAGTGCTCCTGCTCGTACAATTGTAATTGTACCGCACGGTGGACATGCCACGCAGCCAACCCAGTATGCTCCATCTAGTCTAATGGTGTCCGCTGGCATTAGGTCATTGCCGGGCGACAGCATAGGTCGAGCCAAGCCTCACGTCTGTTTCTCGTGCCCAGACCCCGCGGACGTGGCTGCGGTGGACTGGTCGAGTCTGGCGAACGAGTCGAAGGAGGTGGACGGAGAGCAGCGCGATGCCGGCATGGCACTGCTGCGCTTCACGCCGGGTGCCGTGCTCCTGCGACTCGGCGTGTCGGCGCGCCTGGCCGGGCCACGCCTGCTGCAGCGAATCCGCGACGCCTGCAAAGAGACGTCTGCCAGCGTCCCGGGTAGCTCTCCGTTGCGCTCGCGCTGTTACGCACCACAACTGAACGTGTGGCGAATCGTGCACATCAGAATCGGTTATTTTCAACATGTAATTTTAAATAGTAAATAGTTATTGAGATAGCGAGCCTCACAGTGTTGCACGTCACGATACACTTACATCTCATCTCAAACATTGAAAGGGGCACCCCCAGTGCCAGCTTGTCCCTGTGTGGCACCAGGTGACCTCAGCATCTGGCATATGAGCAGGCATTACTCTTGTCAGCAGACGGTGATGATTGTGATGTATAATCCCAATTGAGTAATTTATGGGTAATTTTTTGAATTTGGAAACTGGCCGATGAGGTTGTTTTTGATGCTATACAAATCCAAATTGTCTGGTATTAATTCACTAGCGATGAGATGGTTATCACTGTATCTTGCATATGGCTGGATAAGCAGCCACAATATGGCTTAATTTGATGTGGTGGATTTCTTGGAGTGAACAATGGTTTGGTTGGTGTTTCTGCCATCACATGCTGTACTTTTTTCATAATTTCCCTTCGTGAAGCTTATGCACAGATCTGCCGTAACATGTGTGGATTTGAGCAAACACGAAGCATTGCTTTTGAGGTCGAGATTAAATCCCCGGAGGATCTTTAGTGGGATTGGCGATTAGGGGTGCTACGGTGGCGAGATGTTATCTACCTCGGCAGGTATACAGGAGGTCGTGGGTTTGATCCCGACCCTGTCGCCTGTATATTTGGAGTTTGCATTATTCTCCCCATGGTCAAGTGGATTTTTCTCCGGGCCCTCCGGTTTTTCAATCCACATTGTGAAAATCAACATCGTGCGTTTAGATGATTTAGCTGCTTCACATTTGCATGTAATAAGCCATTTGTGGCCAGCTTGCTTCTGCTTTAAAGCTCAGTGGGCCTTTCTGATGAAATAAAAATAGTTTGTTAATAGTTACGATGGATGCACGTTTAGCAGCGGTTATCAGTGAGAGTACGCTGCCCGTGAGTGAGCACGCGCACCGTGCCGACAGCGTCACTCGTTTTTCACCGCCCCCCCCCCCACCACCACCAACCCCCCCCCTGCCATCGCACCACAGACGTGGAGGCGATGCTAGAGCAGGAGCTGGGGGCGCTGGGACGGGCCGTGCTGGGGCGCCGGCATGAGCAGGCGGCCGTGCTGCACGTGGCGGCACCATGCCACCGCGCCCTCTGCTACCGCCGGGACCTCGCCATTCGCAGGCAGATGCTGAGTGGCAAGGTGAGAACGGGGGGCGCCCAAAAGCCATCTCGCTCGGCTTGATCCGCGAAGCGAGCGTGGCATCTAGCGTGGGCCTTAATCCGTCTTCGCGGGTTCACTTCAGGTTTTCACAGATGTGGGGTTTTAGGTCTTTGACCGTATTTTTTTACCAGTCATGTGACCGATCTTGTCAGACCTCAGATGCTCGGCAGGGTTGGTCTGGCGTCGCGCTTTGGTGGGTGACCACCGTGCACAAACAATGTGCAGCAGGTTGACAGCAGAGGGCAGTGCACGACATTCAGTTATACTGTACTTATACGCTCCCATTTCTGCTGCTCACGTTCTACCCACTAATCAGCGTGGTGTAGTATGGTCAAATAAGTAAAAAATAAAATAAATTTAAATGAAAACAACTCAATTAAATCACGACGTTTTGGAAGCAACACAAGCCTCCGTCTGCAGGTGGAACCGCCACAGCAAAATTACTGTAGCGGCCAACTGAAGACGGAGGCTTGTGTTGCTTCCGAAACGTCGTGATTTAATTGAGTTGTTTTCATTTTAATTTATTTTATTTTTTACTTATTTGACTTTACCGAAAAAAACAAAACGTATGGATCCTTGCAGTCACGAAAACTTCAAATCTAGAATTATGGTCAAATAACCCTCACGACCTGCACAGCGTGGAGAGGCTCTTCCATCAGGAGATTGGGAAATGTGCAGGGCTATTCTGTTTTACGTGTACATTTCTTATGAAAATTATCTACTTTATAATCCCAACTCATTCGTTGATAACACAGTGGTTCTTTCTCAGAGCACATAAATTACATTTCAAGACAATATTAATGGAAAACGAGTTTTTGTCGTGCTTGGGCACTACTGCCAATGCAGCAGCATCACCAAATAATGAATTTTATCATCTGTATTTTTTTTATTAATTTTCATAAGAACCTCTTGTGATGTTGTTGAGAGCCTATTGAGATAGAACATGTGTAATGCGGGCGTAAATGGGCGGGGCGGATATGACGATCCGAGAGGGAGGAGTCAGGGTCACGTGGGGGAGAAGTTATAGCGGGGAGACAGGAAGCCATCGGGGTCAGTCGGGGGAGTGAAGGGTGGTGAACACGTTGGGTGGTCGCCGTGCCTCAGCCTAGTGGCTGAGGGGCTCATGACGGCGCCAGCCAGCGGGGTGGAAGAGAGAGTTGGGGATAGAGACAGAGAGTGGCGATATAGCCACAGAGGCCACGCAGGGCTGAGGTTGGAGATGGCGAGATAGCCACAGAGGCCACGGAGGGCTGAGATTGGGGAGTGGCGAGATCGCCACACACGGTAAGACTCGGCACCGCCGGCCAGCGGTGACCGAGCACGGAGGAACAGGGAGCAGCGGTGGAGCTGCTGTGAGAGCAGCCGGAGGGCTGCACCAAGAGCCTGCAGCGGAGCTGCAGGAGCGCGGAGGGCTACGGGAGCGAAGGCAGCTGTGGAGCTGCCAAGCAGAGAGTCTCAGGAGGAGAGCCGTGTGGGAAAGAGAACGCGAACCCAAATAAAGGACACGGAGTCAGAGAGAAGCGTCCGAGTCTTTTATTACACATGTTTGAAAAACATGGTTGCGTTGCCAAACAAAGAAATTGTTTAAATGATGTATATAAATATGAAGTTTAAATGAAAGGTTTAATTATACCCAAATGTTATACTTGCTTAACCAGACAACTTCTTGAAATTTTTATGATTTGCTTCTAAACTAAAGAGACATCGTAGGAGGTGCGTGGATAAACATATTCATGATATAAATAACGCTGGGCACCAGCAGGTGCGGAGGTGGCGGCGGCGGCATTGACGGTACCAGAGTTGCCGCCCCCTCCTTCTCACGCAGATCGCAGGCCAGCAGCCCTACGCGAACGCACCAAGCCTGGACCCCGAGCTGCTGAGAGCCAGCCTCAGGCTGTTCAAGCGGCGGCGTGCGGGAGGGCCGCCCCTGTCGCCCAGCGATGACGTGTGCCTGGGCGTCCCAGACGTCCTGCACAAGATGCCGGCGGACCGATCGCTGTCCTCCTCACCCTGCTTTGTCGTCCCGTAGGGTTTGCGGGGAACTGTTCATTGAAAAAAACTGTTTTGCTAGGACATGCCGCGAACTGGAGGAATTTTGTCTGCTGTTTGTTTGACAGTGAATTTTTTTTGTGACTTCCATCGCCTCGGACCGAAATTGGAATTTTCAAGCAAGATTATTTTGAGATGTGCTGTATTTTTTAAGAATCTGGTCAGCAATGCTCGAGCTGAAATTCCTTTCCAGAGTTTTTTCTGGTCTCAATGTGATTCTGATGGACAGACTTTGGGAAACTCACCTGCAATGCTGTCATATAAAGAACATTTGTGGCATTCGTTTTCACTGGAACTGCACAGAAACTCATTACTGCCTGCCCAGATTGCATCAGATTTTAAATCTCAATGTTGTTTTCCCCAGGACTGGCTTTGTATGTTGAACTTCTTTCGCACCATACGGAGCCAACTGTACTAATCGGTGGTGCCAACTTCTGTCGAAATCTTGCAGTTGAATGTTACATTGTGTCGACAACACATGTTAGCACTGCATTCATTTTACAACAGGCGGTCCGATACTTTGATTCACGCTAACGTGTTTTGTGTTTTCACAGTAAGTTGCTATTTTTCTTTTTCAGTAAAAGAAATACCTAGAAAATGGGGCGTTTAATGTGTGATGTTTTTTTTGTTCACTGGATCCTTTGCTTAGAATTTTTTAATTGCCACAGTGTGTCTTACATTTTCATTTGTATGACGGGGCTGTGACTGCTCTTGCCATTGATGGAGACCGGGACTCCGTACGGACGGTTTTGCCACTCGGCCGATCACGCCCATCACGGTGCGAGCGCACGAGTGCAGCCTTCATATTCACCGATGCGGAGAACTTGACCAGACCGCGGATCGGGGTGTGGTTTAACCAAACTCTTGACGAACAAGCCGAGTTGCATGATGCTGAAGAGCGTATTTTTTACCCGGTGCAAAATGACTGAGCGACGTGGAGCTAGTTGCGATGGGACCTGAATCCTTGTAGCAGCGGCGATATCGGCCGTCGTTTCATTGTTGACATTAAATGAACTCGTGAACACATGCCTCGTGCAACTGTGAAGAGCGCAAACTTGCTCCGAAGTACCCACATGACTGCTGCAGCAAGACAGCAGATGACAGCTGCTGCTGCTGCTGTGGAGCATCCATCCCTTGCGTCTGGAATGTGGCCTCGACTCGTGAACTGTGGCGTGTGTATGGGACTCTTCTGCCGAGTTCGCTGTACACCGAGCTGCTGATCTATTCCATCGATTGTAAGTTCTGCTGGGCTGTTGGGACGCTTGATAATAAAGCCAGCCGGTATTTTTTTTTTTACCGCGTCCTACCAATGAACCCTGCCAACCACCCACCCACCCAACCATTTACATCACTGTAGCTTTTGAAGTCTGTGAAATGATAAAGTTCGTTTGAAGGCTGTCTGGTGGAATAGATGTCGAGTTTTGCCGATGGTGCAACTGCATCAGGACACGTGGGCCAGGGCAGCCCGGGCGACAAAGACGGGGAATATTCGACGGGGGGGGGTCCTCTTTAATTCCTTAGACCAAGAACTGTGCCAGCCACGCCGCCTCCGTGGGTGTCTCGCGTGTGGAGAACAACTCGCCAGCCAGGCAGGCTTGGTGGTACATGCGGGTTCAAGTTCAAGTTCATTTATTAGGTATAGCCCTGTGAGCCATTCAGCTCTTGAATCGGGTGCAACCGCAACAAACAAAAAACAAAAACATGAACAAAAAAACATCTTAAAGTGAATATGTGACTAAGTGCAAACAGAAAATCCAAGAAAAGACAGCAAAAATATTGCAGAAAAAACACTGTACACCAACGCTGTGTGCAAAAATCCCAGTGGGATGCAAGTCAAACAACAACAACAACCACAAGACAACTTAGATTAAGGCCATCAGTCTAACTCTGTACTACAACAACACAAACATGGCTAAACCAATACACTTTTCGAAATCACCAAAATAAAGCCATGAAGGCAATGAAAAAGCAATCATAGGAACTGACGGAATTTTCACAATAAATGGCATAAACAACATGTACTACCAAAACCCTGCAGCCATAGCTGGCTGCATGAGTCACTCCACAACAGCAGGAGCATCAATCGGAGTATTGTAATTTTTCAATGCACCTTTAAGATCAGCACACTAAATCAAAACACAGGTCATACGTTGTAGCGATCATCCGGAGCGAAACATTTTATTTTAGGTCACTGAATAGCACTGGCAGCTAGGGGTGTACAACTCCTCTAAAGCAGTTTTGAGTGAAGATCTCATAGGTAGTGACTCAAGTTTCAATTTATTTGCAACAGCATTCCAGACCCTGGGGGCATCAATAGCAAAGGCCCTTCCTCCAGTATATGTACGGCAATAGGGAATATTAAGCTGGTAAATGAGTGTAGACCTTAGGTCAAATTTGTTCTTTGAAACAGAGACGAGATCCAGCAGGTAATCTGCAGATTTTTTTGCAAGTACATCATGAATAAATAAGATCTGGTGCACAAGCCGTCGAACATTCAGAGATGTTAAGTTTGACCCAATGTAGAGATCACAGTGGTGAGTCCTATATGGGCAGTTCAATGCAAATCTTAAGGCCGAGTGATACATTGAGTCAAGCTTCTTCAGTACAGTACTTGGGGCTGATTTATACACAATGTCACAGTAATCAAGTAGAGGCAGTACGGTAGCTTTAATCAATTCCAAACGGAACATAGGAGGGAAGCAGTGCTTGTGTCGATATAGAAAACCAATTTTAATTTTTGTCTTTTTCCCAATATAATCAATGTGATCTTCAAAATTCAGTTTTGAATCCAGGATGACCCCAAGATACTTATAGATCTTGACTTGCTCTATTTGATCATTATTTAAGGTATGTAATTGGGGAAAAATAACTTCCCGCTTTAGTCCTGGTGAGAAGCATAGCACCTTGGTTTTGGCAGGATTTAGGACTAGTTTAAGAGCAACTAGCTGATGTTGTAGTTTGTTGAAATCACTCTGGAGCTTAGCAATCACGTCATCCGGAGAGCGGCCAGCAGTAATTAGTACCGTGTCATCTGCAAAAAGATTTACCCTGGAATAATCCAGTTCAGTGCCCAAGTCATTTACATAAAGAGAAAACAAGAGGGGGCCGAGAATGGAACCCTGTGGAACCCCTCTTGTTATCTTAACACTGTTTGACCTCCAACCATCTGTGAATACAGTTTGGGTGCGAGAAAAGAGGTAATTTTTTTATCATTTTACTGTGTTTTCGGAAAAACCGAGGCAACTTATTTTACTAAGCAGGATGTTGTGGTCTACTGTATCAAAAGCTTTGGACAAGTCAAGAAAAAGACAGGCGCAGTACTGCTTATTATCAAGGCTACTGTAAATGTGATTCAGAGAGTCTAATGCAGCAGATGTGGTGCTGTATTTTTTTCAGAACCCAGATTGTTTTAGATGTAATAGATTGTTGGCGGACAGGAAACTGTTAATTTGGTAGGTCAATAATTTTTCAAAAATTTTCATCAACGGGGACAAAATTGAGATAGGTCGGTAGTTATTTGGATCATCTTTAGGGCCCCCTTTGTGAAGTGGACGAACATAGGAATGTTTCCATTCTAGAGGAACTGATGCTTCTTTGATGGACAGGTTGAAAATATGGGCTATAGGTTTGTATATTAGGTGACCAACAGTTAGTAGAGCAAAGACGGGAATACTATCTGCTCCGGTAGAGGAGGACCCTTTGAGGTAGGACAGTTGTTTCAGAACATTACTTTCGTGGATTGGCTGAAAACTAAATTCGCTTAATGTTTGGACAGGAGTGTAGGAATTTGCATGAGCAGGGGTGACTCCCAATACATTATCAAATAGGGTACCAGCTTCAGAAAAATGAAGGTTAAAATTGTCAACTATTTTTTGGGGATCTGAAAAATATTCCCCATTTCGGTTAAGCTGAACGGGCAGATGATCTGTTTTGGATGCCTTTTCGATACATTTGATTGTTTTCCAGAAAATCCTGGCATTTCCATGAGATTCAAGGAGAGTGGAAGAGAAGTAGTTATTTTTTGCATGCCGTATTTTTTTGACGCATCTATTCCTTAAAATCCTGTATTCTAGCCAGTCATTGACCAAATTACTTTTCTGAGCACATGCCCAAGCCTTGTCCCTAGTTTTCATGAGCTTTGTAATCACAGGATCAAACCATGGTGGACGGTTGCCTTTAGTTTTAAATTTAACCAACGGAGCATGTTTGTTAAGAATTTGGAGAAACGTGTACCTGAAGGTCTCCCAAGCCGTAGTCAGGTTTGGAATATCACAGACCTTGTCAATATCCGAGTAAAGCACATTATTAGTAAATGCCTGAGTGCTGAAGTGTCTCATGGAGTGCTTCTCAACCAATTTAGGGGGGGCTTTGGGTCTGGCTGATGATCTCACCCCAAAAATGAAGGAGTGATCACTAAGGTTATTACCTAGAACAGCAGTCAGTGCGAAATTGTGAGGGGCATTTGTCAATAGGACGTCAAGCAGAGATGACTGTCCCGGATTTTTTAGGTTGGGTCTTGTGGGGACATTTATTAATTGAAACAGGTTAAATTCATCTGAAAATTTTGTGGCCACGGCCGGTGGGTTTAGCCAATTCCAATTTAGATCACCCACTAAAACTATTTCACCTTTAGGGAGGCCCCCAAGAAGCTCTCTCAGTGCAGATGCAGCTTCAACATCCTTCCCACTAGGCGGTCTATAGCAGCACACTACCAATATGTGTTGATTATTAGGGAGAGTTATTCTGAGAGCCAGACCTTCAAAGCAACATTTTTTAAACAAGGAGTGAGCTGGTGAACATGCAATAGTATTACGAACATAGATGGCAATTCCACCTCCTTTAGATCCTCGGTCAAGCCGAAAAAGATTGTAGTTGTCAATCGTAATCTGCAAGTCATTGACGGCAGGAGTGAGAAATGTTTCTGTTAGGCAAAATATGTCCGGGTCAAGATTTGCTACTTCTAGTTTTAGTTGACTTAATTTAATCAAAAGCCCTCTGATGTTGACATGTAGAACACCAACACCTTTTCTGCCAGAAAAATCTACAGAATTATATGAGTTATTTACATTTGGTCCAGGATGAAGCTCAATACCACCCAGAAATAAGAAAAGTAGAATTAATAGTTTGCACAGGTATTTTCTGTGAAAGGATGAAGAGCGACGAACCTTGGACGAATAGCAGCAGCTCGCAGATGGTGTTATTTTTAAGAGCAGAATGAAGTTTGGAAGGAGTGCTGGTGAAGTAATGGGACAAAGATAGGGTTTAAAAGGATATAATGATGGAGTGTAGAAGTGTCTATAAGTTGTTTCATTAGCAGGTGTAGTTGCAAATTTAGCAATAAGTATTGACGCGAAGTAACGCGGGTAGCCATTTGTAGAGTTGAGTGTGGCACTAGATATGGCCGGGAGGGACAGTAGTAAGATACACAGCAGGTGAATTGACATCTTTAAAACACTAAATTTAAACACACACACAGCTCACTCACACGCAGCTCACCCTCACCCACTCTCACGCACAGCCCACACCCATGCAGCACAACGCACACGTGGCCGCACACGCCGCCGCCATCTTGTTGCTGTTGTTGTTGCAGCTGCTGTTGTTGTTGCAGCTGCTGTTGTTGTTGCAGCTGCTGCTGTTGCTGCTGCAGCTGCTGCTGTTGTTGCTGCAGCTGCTGCTGTTGTTGCTGCAGCTGCTGCTGTTGCAGCTGCTGTTGTTGTTGTAGCTGCTGCTGTTGCGGGTGAGTTTCACAATTGAGTACGCGCCGTGCAGTGTTGTTTCACGAAGTACATCGTGTCTTCCAAACAGTCGCATATACATTCGCTTGCGTGTGTGTTAACGAGGGAGGAGTTTGACAAGAACAACATGGGGCTGTTTGAAACAACACGATTGGGCCTCGTCGCAAAGAATGGGAGCAGGAGAGCAGCCAATGGGAAGTGTATGATTGGCAGGTCATAAATGCCTGGACCTTGGGGAGAAAGATGGCACCGTTACGATAGAGGTCTAATATTTAAATTAGCGGAGGAATGCAGCTCTGCAGATCTGCAGCTCTGCATTGCATAACAGATTCAATGTCCTGTGCAGCCCAATAATCGGACTAAGATGGAATTCGTGATGTCGCACGTAAAGTAAACTCAACTCTTCGCATTATACAAAAAAGTAATGTAAGAAGGAAGCCCGCTAAGTTTGGCTCTGGGATAAACTAAATAATAATGGACAACGTAAGTTACGTAACAACATACGATTCGCGTTTGGTGTTGACAGCACAGCGCTTTACATTGAGCACGGGCTGCAGGATCGATCATGAGCCTCACGGAGGATGC